TGTTGGGGTTTAGCCAGCCATCCAGTCACTTCCTCTCCGTGAGGTTCTTGTCTCCATGCGCTCCAGCATCGGTTTAGGCGGAAAGATGGGGCAAGATGGGGAGACCTACAAGGTGCCACCATAGTTAGCTAAGCTGGTTTAAAACCAGTATCACAAGGGTTTGTGGTGATTAACTATAATACCTGGGTAAATTATAACGACCTCACTGCGACCTCACTGGAAATCATATTTAATAAGGGAAATCATCCCAAAATGGCCTTAATTCAGGTTAGTGAATTACTATAATTTACCCAGATAATATATTGTAATACATATCACAACCATAGTCAGCCATAGGGTTTATACTACTAGCCTGGGGCCCTTTGTTTACAGAAAAACATCGATGACCTTCACAGTGGGAGATGGACCTAGGAACACAGTTGGAGCTTGCTGTGATTCCTGTGGGTTTCTGTATCGAATTTCATCAGATTTTCCACTGGCTTCTGATGCATGTGCCGGTGAAACTGTTGGTCAAAATCAATACATTATGATACATTGGATATTTTGGTAAATATGATATTTTAACTGTTTGTTAAACTGTTGGTCAAATATGTGGGTTAAACTGTTGGTTAAACTGTTGGTCAAAATCCAATTTTGGTGCACGGTTTACGCCCCTTTTTCTGTTCGTCAAATTTTCTGCTGGTTAACATCCCATTTGTATCCATTTGTCTGGTGGTTAACCGCCCATATTTGTCAGTTGAAGTTTCCTGTTTGTTCGTGACCGTATCTGTAGGTTGAAATCTATTGTTGACATCTATTGTTGATAGTTAAAATCCCATTTGTTTAGTTCAAATCCAAGTTGTGCTTGTTTGAATCCCATGGCAATGGCCCCAAATGATCCAAAATTGTTGGTAAACCCCTGAGCCACTCTGGATGTTTTACATGTTCAAGAATATGCAATAGATGACTAGATGACTAGATCCTAAAATTATTGACAACCCAGCATGGGATGGCTTTGCTGTTAAACATGACAAATTCGTTGGTTGCTTTCTTGAGATTTGATTTTTTCTGATATTTTTCGGGGATGATGTTCACCCCAAAATCGCGCCGACGCCAAGTTGTTCATTGTTTTCTCCCATCGCTGAACGGGGGGTTTCTCCAGCAGGTTTCCATAAAATCCAATGAACATGGGGATTTTTACCAGCAGAAAATCAATGTGGAAACATGTCTAATTGATTATGTCAAGAAAGATGGTTGATGAATGTTGATTGGTAGGACGCATGTTAAGTGGCTTTCAACCAAATCATAGACCAACGAAAGATGGAAACCCCGCTCTCAGCAAACAAGTAGATCCATCCTCGGAGTCATGATCTCAGCTTGCAGAGCCTCAAATTCTTGGGCCATAGATATATATATATACATAATATATATATATTATATATATATACTTAACTCATGATCGTAATTCGTACTTGGGCTCAATATCTCTCAAACATAGGTGCCTGTTTAATTTTAGTGTTATATATAACCATAATGTTTGACAATTGTCATAATTAGACACTGTTTATAATTGCCTTGTACCCTCTGGTAAATAAACATAGACCCTGAAAATCACCAATTTTTAATGGAAACTAGATTTCCAATTCTATTTGTCAGGGTCTATGTTAATTTACCAGAGGGTAATTAGGCTTATAACAGTGTTTTCTAAACATGTTCAAAGTCTCTCGCCAATGACCTAATTCTGCTGCTGCCAGGTCATCGGCCTCGAGGTTAATTGAGGCCGGCCGCTGAGCTTGACCATTTTGACAGCCACATTTTGTAGAACTTTGTCAATGGGAGATCTTCAGGATCCTAAAATGGAGGTACGTTAGTACCATAATGTTGGCCATATTTTCTGGGGATATTCCCATTGACTTTGTGTATCATTTTATATACCCTGAAAAGAAACGCCTTTTGCTATAGTCTGAACATTATTCTTCCCACTCTTGGTTTGTACCTGTGTTTATCAACCAAAACGCCAAACGTCTTGAAGCTTCAAGTAACATGAGTACAGCTCCGTGGCTGTCCCGCTCTCCCCCGAAAAGTCTGGTGCACCCAGAAGGTATCTCCTATTTTGGACACATCCCTGGGTCACCGCCACGCCGCCACGGAGATCAAGTATCTATAATCTAACATCCATGTGATGCACAATTATATAATGTATGATATATAATATATACATATATATGTATACATTCAATATATATATATATATTCATGTATTTATACATATTTATACAACATATACATAGTACTACTATGATATTACACGTATGATTATTGTATAATATATATCTATATATTACTAAAGATTATTACGATCTTTGGCGCTTTCGCGAGGATGACGAGAGCTCCGCTCTGCAGGAGATGAATGTCTCAGTGCCATGGGTAATGGGTAGCCCCCTGGTGCTTGGATCATGTGGGATTTAACTTTGAAAACTGCTGGGTATGATGGGGATATACTGGGATTCACCACCCAATTTCATGGTGGTTTAGGAGAATTTCATAGAATTTCATGGGGATACAATGGGATATGCATGGAATGTTGGCTAATTTTAATCTGTAGAAATCAAAGACGGCAACAGGAAATCCCCATTGCCATGTTTGATTACACGAGGTTTAAATTTATCTCTATTTGTTCTGCGTGTGCTATATTTAGGTGCCATCTGGTGGGGATATAATAGTGATATAGTGGGGATGTAAATAAAATAGTAAATATATGTAAATAAATGGGCTAACGCCCTGGTGCCGCCGACCCCTTTTCAAGGGTGGAGGAAGAAGTGCGCAGACATAGAGCCACTCAAGAAGCCCAGCAAACGGCTAGGCCTAAACATTGTTAAACATACGTATGTATATATATATATAGTACATTACATGCATTCCATTCGCAAAAGTGGAATGATGATAGAACTTGGGGAATACTCATGACGTCATTGTGGCGACGCCACCAGGATGAAAGACTGTGAAACACCCCAAGACATCCAAGACCTTCTAATGCGCATGTCTCCTGTTGAGATCGCTGCAGCTACGCATGCTTTATTTGTGCGAAAGGTTGCTAGCCCATAAGAAGCCATTGAAGTGGCCTTGTAGGGGTTTGAGGGGTTTGGAGGGTTTTAGGCTTGGCAAACGGCAAGCTTGGACGCCCAGAAAAAGCCATGGATGTGGGCTTTTGCCTGCGCTGGAAGCCCATAAGAAGGCATTGAAGTGGCTTTTTAGGGGTTTGGAGGGTTCTAGGCCTGGCAAACGGCAAGCTTGGACGCCCATAAAAAGCCATGTTGTGGCGTCTGGAGCCTATAAGAGCCATTAGTGTGCGCCTTTTCGGGTTTTAGGGGTTTGGAGGGGTTTGGAGGGTTTTTTTTTTTAGGCTTGGCAAACGGCAAGCTTGGACGCCCATAAAAAGCCATGGATGTGGGCTTTTGCCTGCGCTGGAAGCCCACAAGAAGCCATTGAAGTGGCCTTGTAGGGGTTTTAGGGGTTTTAGGGGTTTGGAGGGTTTGGAGGGTTTTAGGCCTGGCAAACGGCAAACTTGGACGCCCATAAAAAGCCATGGATGTGTGTGGGCTTTTGCCTGCGATGGAAGCCCAGAAGAAGCCATTGAAGTGGCCTTGTAGGGGTTTGAGGGGTTTGGAAGGTTTTAGGCTTGGCAAACGGCAAGCTTGGACGCCCATAAAAAGCCATGGATGTGGGCTTTTGCCTGCGCTGGAAGCCCAGAAGAAGCCATTGAAGTGGCCTTGTAGGGGTTTTAGGGGTTTGGAGGGGTTTTAGGGGTTTGGAGGGTTTGGAGGGTTTTAGGCCTGGCAAACGGCAAGCTTGGACGCCCATAAAAAGCCATGGATGTGGGCTTTTGCCTGCGCTGGAAGCCCAGAAGAAGCCATTGAAGTGGCCTTGTAGGGGTTTTAAGGGTTTTAGGGGTTTGGAGGGTTTGGATGGTTTTAGGCCTGGCAAACGGCAAGCTTGGACGCCCATAAAAAGCCATGGTTGTGGGCGCTGGAAGCCTATAAGAAGCCATTGAAGTGGCCTTTTCGGGGTTTTAGGGGTTTGGAGGGTTTGGAGGGTTTTAGCCCTGGCAAACGGCAAGCTTGGACGCCCAGAAAAAGCCATGGATGTGGGCTTTTGCCTGCGATGAAAGCCCAGAAGAAGCCATTGAAGTGGCCTTGTAGGGGTTTTAGGGGTTTTAGGGGTTTGGAGGGTTTTAGGCCTGGCAAACGGCAAGCTTGGACGCCCAGAAAAAGCCATGGATGTGGGCTTTTGCCTGCGATGGAAGCCCATAAGAAGCCATTGAAGTGGCCTTGTAGGGGTTTGGAGGGTTTTAGGCTTGGCAAACGGCAAGCTTGGACGCCCATAAAAAGCCATGGATGTGGGCTTTTGCCTGCGCTGGAAGCCCACAAGAAGCCATTGAAGTGGCCTTGTAGGGGTTTTAGGGGTTTTAGGGGTTTGGAGGGTTTGGAGGGTTTTAGGCCTGGCAAACGGCAAACTTGGACGCCCATAAAAAGCCATGGATGTGTGTGGGCTTTTGCCTGCGATGGAAGCCCAGAAGAAGCCATTGAAGTGGCCTTGTAGGGGTTTGAGGGGTTTGGAAGGTTTTAGGCTTGGCAAACGGCAAGCTTGGACGCCCATAAAAAGCCATGGATGTGGGCTTTTGCCTGCGCTGGAAGCCCAGAAGAAGCCATTGAAGTGGCCTTGTAGGGGTTTTAGGGGTTTTAGGGGTTGTAGGGGTTTGGAGGGTTTGGAGGGTTTTAGGCCTGGCAAACGGCAAGCTTGGACGCCCAGAAAAAGCCATGGATGTGGGCGATGGAAGCCTACTAAGAAGCCATGAAGTGCCTTTTAGGGGTTGTAGGGGTTTGGAGGGTTTGGAGGGTTTTAGCTGGCAAACCGGCACGCTTGGCCGGCCCATACCCAAGCCATGGATGTGGGCTTTTGCCTGAGATGGAAGCCCCATAAGAAAGCCATTGAAGTGGCCTGTAGGGGTATGAGGAGCAGCCATGGATGAGGGCCTTTGCCTGCGGCTGGAAGCCCATAAGAAGCTATTGAAGTGCCTTGTAGGGCGGTTCGGTTTTAGATCTAGCTAGTTGTTTAAGTTGGGTGTCCCTTCTGTTTCTTTTCTAATTGGGGTTCGTCCCGCCTCTGTGCTTTTGTTGTTGACGGTATGTAATGGTGGGTTCTTTGTTTTCTTTTGTTCGTTTCTACGGAGATTTTCATGTCTGTCCTTAGATCCGTTTGGAAGGGTTTTAGGGGTTTGGAGGGTTTTAGGCCTGGCAAACGGCAAGCTTGGACGCCCATAAAAAGCCATGGAGGTGGGCTTTTGCCTGCGCTGGAAGCCCATAAGAAGCCATTGAAGTGGCCTTTTAGGGGTTTTAGGGGTTTGGAGGGTTTTAGGCCTGGCAAATGGCAAGCTTGGCCATAAAAAGCCATGGATGTGGGCTTTTGCCTGCGCTGGAAGCGCATAAGAAGCCATTGAAGTGGCCTGTAAGGGGTTTGAGGGGTTTGGAGGGTTTTAGGCCTGGCAAACGGCGCTGGAAGCCCAGAAGAAGCCATTGAAGTGGCCTTCGGATGCCCGTTGGCTGCGAATGCCTGGCGAACGGCACGCTGGACCGCCTAGAAACAGCAATGGATCTGGCCTTGGGGTAGCTTTTGCCTGCGCTGGAAGCCCATAAGAAGCCATGGAAGTGGCCTTTGAGGGGTTTTAGGGGTTTGGAACGTTTTAGGGCTGGCAAACGGCAAGCTTGGACGCCCATAAAAAGCCATGGATGTGGCCTTGGGATGCCTGTTGCTAAGAAAGACAAGTTCCACACCTGCGGTGGTCCCAGGCGCCGCCCCTGCCTTGGCGAAGGCCGGGGTCGGCGGATATTTGGATATATTTGGAATATTACCCATATTATCCCATATTTCTTCTTCTTTAATCCATATACTCGGGATTCTTCGGGGTTATACATCATAAAACCCATATCTCTCGATCCATATTTGTTTGGTATAAAACATGACCAAATGATACCAGATGTGGATCTAGTGGGGCCCATCCGGTCTTCGGTCGTGTTTTTCTGAGGCCCACCAGATATAAATGGGTCAGCCCATATAACATGTAGTTTTATCATGTTATATCACCCCCAAAAACCCTATAGTTAACCAAATATAACCAAATTAATCTCTGCTCCCTAATACTAAAGCACCACCCAAATGGTAAACACGTTGATCTATGTTTATTATTCAGAGGTATTTAGTATTAGATAGGGTGCTCCTAGTATTCCAATGAAAACCCTAATAATTAAAAACAAAAAACGATTTCAAATTCGATTAAATCCATTATTAACATTTACACAAAATATTGCCAAAAACTTGTTTTCGATACTTTCCCCTAATATTCCAATAAAACCTCAATATAATAATTAAAAAACAATTTCAAATTTGATCAAATTCCTTTTTAAAATCTATTTAATTTTTTGACAAGAACTGGATTTCGAAGCTTTCCCCTAATATTCCAATAAAACCATATATATATAGTTAAACAAAAAAAGAACGATTTCAAATTTGATTGAATCCCTTATTAAAATCTATTCAAAGTATTGCCAAAAACTGGAACTCGAAGCTTTCACCTAATATTCCAATGAAAACCTTAATGGCAATAAAAATAAAACTTGTGAGATGGGAACCTAATAAAAAACCTCCATGCACCATTCTATTTTTATTGATAGGGGGGTACAACTCATTTATTTCACCATCCTGTTCTCCTATTGATTTTCACTTACCACAATTAAGAACGCAATTGTAACCCACCCAAAACAAATTAAATTGCCAATCCATTCCTATTTATAAATTGGGGGAGTTTTAGTAATGGGGAGAAGAGATTATAAGTCAATTTAGCTATCGTTTGGGGGGTCACAATCAATTAGATCATTTAGTTCGATGGTTTTCCGAGCTAGAAAGCTCCATTTCGTTCAGTTCGGGGATTTCCCAGCAAAACGTTGGATGACACCGCAGGGTACACCGGCGGCCCCAGCATTTTGGAGGATCATCCGTGTGGTGATCCTCCAAATACAGTGCCCACTTCAAAATGGGAGGTAACTCCAATTTTTAGGTGGTCAATATCACTTCAATGAGGTTTTTTCAGCCAGTTATGTTATAACTGGCGTATACGGTATAGGGCTGTAACTGCAGGGAACCCCTTCGTTGGTATAAGTTATAACTGGCTTATACGAAAAAAAGGGCTGTAACTGCAGGGAACCCCTTCGTTGGTATAAGTTATAACTGGCTTATACGAAAAAAGGGCTGTAACTGCAGGGAACCCCTTCGTTGGTATAAGTTATAACTGGCTTATACGAAAAAAAGGGCTGTAACTGCAGGGAACCCCTTCGTACAGGACCAACGGCCGCGCTGTGACCCCCGACGAGTTCTCACAGCGTTTCGGACTCCGTACCTCCCCAGCGGCGGCCATCGAGCGTGCGCATTACTTCATGGAGTGGACGCCGGAGGGGCCACGGGGTCAGCATCTCGGCTCATTCTTGGGAAGATTCATGGAATTTTATGGGATATACATATGATTTGATACAATATAGTGTGGGAAAAACATGACACTGCTTTCATCTGCTTTCTGGGATATTTTATTGGATATACATACATTTCCGACAATCGGATAATTTTTGGGAATATAACCAACAGTTCAATATGTATTTGAATTTAAGTATTTTTGGGATTTGATGGGATGTCTTATTGAAATCTGATATTTCATTCGATATACCTAACCAACAGTTGTGATATAGCCAAACTGACGAAGATACTTTTTGGATATTTCTTTCATTGGATACAATGGCATGGTTGAACGAACCGACAGTAGGATTTTGCCAGGGTTCATCCCACTGTAATGGGATTTAGTGAGATTATTTAAGCATCAGAAAGTATATATGTGATATGTACGTGGGTAATTCAGTATATTTCATGGGGAGACTTTGTAACGAACATGCAATGTTGGGAATATCAATTTGTTTTGGGACTACCTTGCATACACTAATAGAAATAGCGGGTATATCATGGAATATTTGATGGTATATATATATACATACACATATATAAGGACATTAATCACTATTATATGTGGGTGTGTCTGAATCATTTAGATATATACCCCAAATTGCAATTTTTATAGAAACATGATGATACACCATCAAACACGTACCCTATATTCAGAATCTTTTGGGAATACTCTCGGGTACTCAAACATGGCTGGCTGGGACATTTTTTATAAAGAAAGGTTTAATGGAAAAATCATCGAACTAAATGGGGGATTTTGCCAGCAAGGTGTGCTTGATTACCAGATGGTATCCTCTCGTCTTAGTAAATAGCATTGAATAGCCATAAAAACATGAAAGATCCCTTCCCCCTGATATTAAACAGCCCCAGAAACCATGGTTTAGTAGAGGATTGGGGGTTCATATTCGGGGAATGGGATTTAGAAATTAAAGATCTGGATGACGTTGCGGCGATGATGGTTAGTAGGGGCAACTATCCCAACATAGCCGAACATTTGCGGTTAGTGACATGCCATAATTTACCCGGAAAGATGTATAACCATGCTAAGAATACTAAAGATCTACCATCCAGTACTTTAACATAGCTATTGACAATCACTATGTCTGTAGATAAACCATCCATACATCGGCAATTTTCCATAGCCTATGTGAAATTACCAGAGGGGAAATCCGCGGTTTGGGGTAGTTCACACAGATCATGGTGATCAAGGTTTGCTCCTGAGCACTTCACGGTATCAGAAGTGCAGATCTCGGCCTTGGGATATATGAAGAAGCTTGGCCGCAAAAGCGCGGACATATGCTGTGGATCGTGTATATAACTACCATGTTATCAAAGGACGGTAAGTTAGAAAACATCTGAGTTACGGACGATAGTCATGGTAAGCATTCACACAATCATGTCAATCACATTATCATGACAACCACATCATCATGTCAACCACTCATCACTAAGTAGTTGGGAAGTGTAAGGAAAGCTGCAAAATTACGGGCAAAAACACTCTCGGGCGCGAATCCCTGTGTTTTTTTCCGGGAAATGTGGCTCCTGGGGTACCTCTGTTTCCGCAGTTGCGGACTTCGTTGTTGACAAAAAGTGCACGAGACTGTAGTTAGCGCTCGGTTTTGCTCAACAAAAATGTTTCTCGCAAGCGGCGCGTGGCACTTTTGGAAGACGTGCATCAGACTTTAGCGAGAGCTTGATTTCATGAGACTAGCTCCAGATTTGTGTGGTCCAGTCCGCGCTGTAACATTGACGCTGCGCGAACCTTGGTCGATTTGGTGCAACGCTCTGCTATGCGGGCTTGCAACCGGCTGTAAAAAAACGCATTGGCACTGCTTTCATTATGTTTCATTGGTTCATACTGGTTCATTGGTTCATTGATTCGATGATGCGTTCATTCCCAGATTCATTTTCATTGGTTCAATGATTCCTTGATTCGTTGCTTCGTTGTTTCATCGACTCATCGGGTCAATGATTCATTGGTTCGCTCTGAATCATTGGTTCATTGACTCAGCGACTCCCTCATTCACTCATTCATTGAATCATTGGGTCACTGATTCATTGATTCATTGAATCACTGCCCTATCGACACAAAGAACTCACTCATGGGTTTATTGATTCACTGCTTCATTGACTCATCGACTTATTCATTCCTTCCTTCCTTTCTTACTTCCTTCCTTCCTCCCTTCCCTCCTTCTTGTGCTCATTTGTTCAACCATCCAATCAGTCATTCATGCATTCAGTCATTCGTTCGCTCGTTCATTCATTCATCCATCCATTCATTCATTCAGAACATTCAGAACATTCGGAACATTCAGAACATTGAGAACATTGATTCATTCATTCGTTCGTTCGTCCGTTCATTCATTCATTCCTCATGCGTCCATCCATCCATCCATCCATTCCTCATGCGTCCATCCGTCCATCCATCCATCCATCCTTCGTTGGTTCATTGGTTCATTGGTTCATTGCTTTATTGGTTTATTGGTTTATTGGTTCGTTCGGTCACTTGTGCACGGATTCTTTCATGTCATGCCGTTGGCATCTCAACCACCATTTGCTCATTCGTTGATGCGCGTGACAAATTCAACAGTTCCTTGCTTCTGCATCTCAAAAAACGTTCTTGTAGACCTTTGATTTCCTATCACCATTTTATGCCCTTTCTCCAAGAAGGGCTGAACATACCTTCGGAGCATACCCCTACTTTGGGACATGCTGGTTTTATTTGGTTTTTACTTTTCGGATACTGTACCCAAAATATCCTGGTCATATCCGTTTCCAAACTGTATACCAGTAGTACCGCACAAGGCGGTGGCGGAAGTTTCAGAATAGGAAACCTATAGGAGACGTTGGTTGTTGTGAATCACGGATGGCAGAGCGAAGCCACTGATTGACCGAAAGGTGGTTGGAGTTGTGTTTGCTGGAGTGGTTGCAATGGTTGCAGTGGTCACCTCACCCACAACTGCTGGATGTAGTGTGATGTACCGCAACTGTAGTTGTAGTTGTAGCGTAGTGGAGTTGTAGTTGTGGTGTAATGCAATTAGTGTAGTGCAGTTGCAGTCATATAGTTGTAGCTGTAGTTGTTTTGTAGTTGTAGTTGTTGTTGTTGTTGTTGTTGTTGTTGTAGTTGTTGTAGTTGTAGCTGTAGTAGTTGTGTGGTTGTAGTTGTTGTGTAGTGTAGTTGTAGTAGTAGTAGTAGTAGTAGTAGTAGTAGTAGTAGTAGTAGTAGTAGTTGTAGTTGTAGTTGTTGTAGTTGTAGTTGTAGTAGTTGTTGTTGTTGTAGTTGTTGTAGTTGTAGTTGTTGTTGTTGTTGTTGCTGTTGTTGTTGTAGTTGTAGTAGTTGTAGTTCTAGTTGTATTGTAGTTGTTGTGTAGTTGTTGTAGTTGTAGTTGTTGTAGTTGTAGTTGTTGTGGTTGGTGTTGTTGTTGTTGTTGTTGTGGTTGTTGTTGTTGTTGTTGTTGTTGTTGTTGCTGTTGCTGTTACTGTTGTCGTCGAAGTTAGGGTAGTTAAGTTAGTGAAGTTAGTTAAGTTAGTCAAGTTAGTTAAGTTAATCAGTGTCTACTTTTTCGACATCTTCACGTCGAAAAAGGCTCAAAACCTCAGTTTTTTACACTTTTGACTTCGAAATGTGCTTCGCGCCACAACGGCGTGCACTTTTTCGACACTTTTTCGACATCTGAACCTCCAAAAGTGGTCCGAGATCGTCAGTTTTTAACACTTTTGACTTGGAAATGTGCTTCGCGCCACAACGGCGCGCACTTTTTCGACATCTCAACTTCCAAAAGTGGTCCGAACCCCTAGTGTTTTGTACATTTTGACTTGGAAATGTGCTTCGCGCCACAACGGCGTGCACTTTTTCGACATCTCAACTTCCAAAAGTGGTCCGAAGCTGGTGTGCTTTGTACATTTTGACTTGGAAATGTGCTTCGCGCCACAACGGCGTGCACTTTTTCGACATCGCAACTTCCAAAAGTGGTCCGACACTGGTGTGTTTTGTACATTTTGACTTGGAAATGTGCTTCGCGCCACAACGGCGTGCAATTTTTCATCTCTCATCTGGCCAGCTTGCTCCGCACCCGCCGCTTTAGCGAGCCTACTTTTCGACCCTCCGGAGCCCCAAATCATTGGAAAAACACAGTGTTTCGCGACTTTCCTATCTTTTCGCGCATCTGCATCTTCTTTCTTCTGATCTTTTCTCTTCTGACTCTTCTCACCTCTGCTTTTCAACTGTCCATATTGTCGGAAGTTTCACTTCTAAACTTCCTTCGATTATTGTAGAATATTGTGGGAACATGCAAGCAAGAGGTTTACCTTGGAAATCCGGTATAAACACCACCTAGGAAATAACGCTTCGTCAGCATCTCCCTTACTTGTTGGGCAAAAAACATCATGACTCCGATATTTTCCAGTTGTATTTTGGATTCCCTGCAGCAAGTTTGTGGAATTCATAGCCGGGCAGTGCAGTGCAAAGGCTGGCCGGTCATTACTTGAACACGACGCTGCATATGGTTGTCCCCCAACTCCAGTTGGGGGCCTACGTATCTCCCCACTTGTTAAATGCATGAAATTATCCAATGATGAAATCAAAACTAAAGAAAGAGGTCGACAATTCACTGTTGCCATGGCCTTTGCAGTGGGGTTGCACCTGCACATGCATGTGATAGATCTGATAGAGATGCAAGCCTTTGCAGTGGGGTTGCACCTGCACATGCATGTGATAGAGATGCAAAACGTGAAGGCAAATTCCAATTGAGGACGGTATGCAAACATTTTGACCGTCCAATTTGAGTGGTATCCCAAAAAAGTAAGAACCACATGTCCCAAAAGTAGGGGTATGTTCCAAAGGTAGGTTCAGTTTTTCGTACAATTTCATTCGTTCGAAATTTCCACCCCGGCATGGTCCCAAAACGATGGAAAAACACTCGAAACCTGGAAATTATGGGACAGCATCATTGCTCACACCCTGGAAACACTGGCTTGAAACCATCCTTTTGGGGTCCTTTTTTTGCACGTTAGATTGGATATCCGGCACCATTGTGAACTGATGAGGTACATTTGTATGGCGAATCCAGTCAAAATGAGAAATCCAAACTGGTTTGCACGTGTTGAATTTACTGCAACTCCAAGTAAACCTTGAATTGCTGAACATGTTTTTCTTTAGGTTTTTCATTTTCCCATGGTTCAACCTACCTTTATAAGTGGAAATGTATACTTGGATGTGTTTTTTTTGCCCAACACAGCTTCCAGGAAGATGGAAGCTGGAATTCTGGCAAATCATAAGCCCGGAGAGTACAGATGGTATGGAGCGATGCAGCGGGAGGAACAAGACGAGCAAGGCCGACTGCTGTATCGATTTGGTGATGCGGCTCAGAGCATTTGAGAGGCAGGGAGTGTGTTTCGCGGTTCAACGTGTGGGATTGATTGGTCTGATTAAGCCTTCAAAAACAAGATCTGGAGGTTTCCAATCCATGGGGTACCCCCAGTTATCATCCACTTTAATATATTTTAATAGGATGTTCCGTCCATGAAATAAAGCATCCAGCTTTTGGAGATCCCCATTTATGGTAACCTCCATACCTGGGATTTGAAACCCTTTAGGTATTAGTATTGGTGGTTCTCATAATCAGGTACGGGGATGCCCGTGAAGCAACAACTGCAAGGGATTGTCCCGATTTTTTTCACTGCTCATTCGTAGTAAAATTATCACCAAAAGGTCTTTAAAATTAAAGATCCTTAGCACATACCCTGCGCCCCTACTCCACAAAACTGATCGTGATTACTCTTTTTGAAACCAACATGCCATTTACAATTTCATGTTAACATGTTAGTTGGTTTTAAATGTGGATGATGTACATATATAATACCCCTACGAATTTCCCCTATAGAATTGGGACACCTAGGTGCTCGATAAAACGATTTTTTAATACAGGATATCCTAAATTTGAGCTGCCCTTTTTGGCTTGTTTTGGTGGGCTACAATTTTATTTTGGCCCTGGGGGTCCTAATTTTTTGGTGCCTAAATTTAGTGACCCAGCGCTCCAATTTTGAATGAGGCTCCAATTCTATAGGGATATGTCGGTTTTGTTCTAGTTGCTAATTTTGCAGTGTATCAAGGCTTCAAATGACTACAGAATTGGAACCCCCTAAAACTCATGTTTCAACAAGTTGTATAGGGTGCTATAAAATTGGGACCCTGGCGTGCAGCACATTGCAGGTAGCTGCAAATTGGAACCCTTTCGTGACCAAGTTTTTTCATGAAACAATGCCATGCTGCTACACCAGAGCGCTCAAGCATGTGCCATGCGAATGCTGGAGAAGAGAAAATTGAAAAACCAGATAAAACTCATAATCACTTTACTTCGTGTGATCCCCACCATTACATTTATACATTTTCTTACTGGCAAATCTTCTGGCATTCTATCTGACATATCTTCTGGCATTCTATCTGGCAAATCTTCTGGCATTCTATCTGGCATATCTTCTGGCATTCTATCTGACATATCTTCTGGCATTCTATCTGGCATACCTCCTGGCATTCTATCTGGCATATCTTCTGGCAGATCTTCTGGCATTCTATCTGGCATATCTCATTGCATTCTATCTGGCATATCTCATGGCATTTTATCTGGCATATCTTGTGGCATTCTATCTGACATTCTATCTGGCATATCTTCTGGCATTCTATCTGGCTGTTGAGGTCCAGCGGTGCACACTGAGCTGGGCAGGTCCCCGGTTGAGGTCCAGCGGTGCACACTGAGCTGGGCAGCTCGCAGGTTGAGGTCCAGCTGTGCACACTGAGCTGGGCAGCTCGCAGGTTGAGGTCCAGCGGTGCACACTGAGCTGGGCAGCTCGCAGGCTGACGTCCAGCAGTGCGCACTGAGCTGGGAAGTTGGCGAAGAGCTTGGCGACGAGTTGGCAAGGTTGGCAAGGCGGAAGTGGAGGTGGAAGAGGCGGAGGCGAGGAGGAGGGCGAGGAGGACAGCTAGTCGAGGAGGAGGAGGAGGAGACGGAGGAGGAGGCGGGCATGCGCTCTGATAAAATCTAACAACCCTCACCTGGCAGGTGGGGAAACATATATATATATATATACACATTATTTTGTGGGATAAACATGAAGAATATTTACCTCCAAACTCGGATTTATTGGTTTATAATATGATATGGTATAACAAAATACAATAAAGTATCATTGAGTTTAACATTTTTTTTGTTTTACAAACATATAGTAAAATATAGAAAACAGGTCGATTTGGAGCTAGTACAGTTGTTCATATGACCTGGGCGTCCCAATTTTGTAGTGTTGTTGGGCTTGATGATATTGACAGGTTACTAGCAGGTTCTGATTTTTCGGGCTGATTATATATGTATGTGTTTGCCAGGGCTGTAATTTTATAGATGGCCACTGAAGGGCATTTCCAAATTATACACTGGGTCCCCGATGAATTTGGGACAGCCAGGCGAATGGGGTGAATTGGGAAGGGTATCATATATATATAATATGTGTATATATATATATATATATCTGGTTGGTGGTTTGGAACATGTTTTATTTTCCATATATTGGGAATGTCATCATCCCAACTGACGAACTCCATCATTTTTCAGAGGGACTGGTCAACCACCAACCAGAAAATATCGTTCCGACCTCAGAAACATCGATGTCAGGAACCCTGCCAGGTGACCCGCGCAACGGACACGAGGAACCATTTTTTGAACGCTGGGCGTTGCGATGGAAAAGACCTGCAGCTTCCTGGTAGGTTTGAAATGGTTTGAACAGATGGAAGGAACATCTAGGTTGTTATATTTTGCTGTTACATGTTGTTACTATAACCTTAGCATGCCTTCGCTAGATGCTAAGTTTAATCCAAATGGGATAATGGTTTGTTAATCTTGCATCCTCTGATTTTCATCCTTGCGAATGATTGAATGGGATCACGATCCTTTTCCTTTTCAATGGCTCCTATTTTGGGGTGGCTCACAGACCCTGCGAAGAATCTGGTCAGCAAGAAGAAGCTCTTGGAACCATCGCAGCTCTGGTTGAGATGCTGTTGAGCACTTTGTTTCTGAAGTTATGGCTGCTAAGCGTTGGGGAGAAACCATCTTTGGTCCACCCAAGCCAAAAGCCATTCAGGGGGAGACTTTGCATCTTTTTGGTTTGGAAAGCAGTCATGAGTCACGTGAGCAGCTGTCGAAACCTTGGACAACCACAATGAACATGGTAGCTATAGCTCTCCGCTCCGCTCCTCGCCACTAGAAGCCAAGATTAGTGACCAGGTGATTGGATATTGCCCCATACCACCAGGTGAGACATCCATTGCTGAATTGGGATTAAGTGTATCAGTGGCCTTTTGGCTGCAACTCATGTAGACTATTGGTTTCGTTTCATGTGGACTAAGTGACTAGTGGCTATCATCATCTTCCCCAGAATCATAAAGATGTTATAATTGTCATTTGGGTTTTCCATGTTTGAGACATATGTAGTAAGAAAATGTAAGAAGTAGGTTACATACGCCGATGATCACATCCTGGCCACGATGGGTGCGGCGCTACTCGCAGAGTGAGACCTTCAGAACCTGTCCAAATTGGCAAAATGGGCTACTGTAGTGAGGGAGATCGAACAATGAAGCATCCCCGATTGGGTGTAAAAAGACCCCGGAAGGGTTGGTGCATGCTAGTTTATCTAGTAGGGAGATCCATGGAATTGTTTGAACACCGTGTGTCCGCAAACATTGATGGTCACTCAGTCAATCATCATTTTCCTACCAGAGATGTACTGTATTTTCTTCGGTATCACTGCATCACCAATTTTCAAACATGCCCACCATGGGTTTTTTTTCGGCGCGCTCCCAAGGCAGCATCTTCCGGCTGCGAGTGGATCAAGGCGCCAATTTGGAGGCAGGGTCTGGCCGCAGATAGCTTGACTTGGATCATCCCGTGGAGATCGGCAGAGTTTTCCCCCGTTGTTTGGGAAAACCCGCATCGGGACTGACCAGGATGAACCACCGCGATGGGATTTGACCAACAGTCGGCAAGGTTCCAATGCGTACCGGTGCTTATTTGTTTGAAAACCCCTATGGAACATCACATCATGTTGCTTCCAGATTTTACTACTATAATATCACTCTTCTTTCTGGCTTAAGCTCTTTTTTGTTTGTTCAAGAAAGTTCCATTATTGGTCACCCCCCTGCCTTCTCGGTAACCAGGTGCAGGTAAGGCTGGGAGATCTGCTGGAAGGCACGGCTGGGGAAGATGATGTGGATGGTTTAACTTCTAGCCAGAAGCAAATAGCATACATAATGGCCAGGAAAATGTCAATATATAATACAATACAATGTATATATAATGTATATATATAATATATTATAAATAATATATATATATATATACTATACAGAATATATAGTTATACATATATATATATGTGTGAATATCTATATACATAATATGTATATTCATATTCATATTCATAAATATCTATATACATACATACATACATACATACATACATACATACATACATACATACATACATACATACATACAGACACAAATACATACATACATACATACACACATACATGCATGCATACATACATACATACATACATACAGACACAAATACATACATTACATACATTACATAATTACATACATACATTACATAATTACATACATACATACATACATACATACATACATACATACATACATACATACATACATACATAGACACATAGATACATAGATACATAGATACATAGATAGATAGATAGATAGATATATACATACATACATACGTACATGCATACATACATACTCACTTTCTTACTTACTTACGTTACATACATACATACATACATACATACATTACATTAATACATACATGCATAAACGCATACATACATACATACATACAAACATACATACATACATACATAGATAGATACATACATACATACATTACATACATTACATACATTCCATACATTCCATACATTGCATACATTGCATACATTGCTTACATTGCGTACATTACATACATTGCATACATTACATACATTACATACATACATACATACATACATACATACATACATACAGACACAAATACATACATACATACATACATGCATGCATACATACATACATACATACATACATACATACATACATACATACATTACATACATTACATACATACATACATACATACATACATACGTTAGATACATAGATACATAGATAGATAGATAGGTAGGTAGATAGATAGATATATACATACATGCGTACTTACTTACTTTCTTACTTCCTTACTTACTTGCTTACTTATCTACTTACTTACTTACTTTGCATACATACATACATACATAGATAGATAGATAGATAGATAGATAGATTACATACATACATACATACATACAAACATAGATAGATAGATAGGTAGATAGGTAGATAGATTACAAACATACATACTTACTTACTTGCTTGCTTACTTACTTACTTACTTACTTTACATACATACATACACACATACATACATACATACATACATACATACATACATACATGCATGCTTGCATACATACATACATACAGACACAAATACATACATACATACATTACATAATTACATACATACATTACATAATTACATACATACATACATACATACATACATACATACATACATTACATAATTACATACATACATACATACATACATACATAGATACATAGGTAGATAGATACATACATACATACATACATACATACATACATACGCATATGTGTATATATATATATATACATATATATATATATATGTGGTTATGTGATATTATAGCAATACACCAATCATGCAATGATGTTTCGTGACGTTGAATTTTCAGCCATAAACGAAGATGCTCGTCTCCCAGCATTTTTCTGCAGATCACCTCTGGATGCTTAAGTTGGATATCGTCCAATCAGTTTGGTGGCTTGATCACCTTTTTTGTTGACATCTCTATTGGATATGGAGCTATGAAAACTAAGATGGAACAAAAAAATGGCAACATCCAGACTCAATTTTTTGGGTTCCATGTTGGTACCTGAATGTTCGAGGAATCTTATCCCCATTGCTTTTCGATTGACATCCCATCATATACACTACATGACTCTTGGTGGCTCATCGGAATCGTAAGTGGATTATATATATAAGCCCAGTTATTTCTGTGGCTGTTGAAAATCACCATTTTTAATGTGTAAATCAGCTGTAAATGGCAATTTTCAATAGTTATGTTAGTTCACCAGAGGGTAATCCACATAGCATTACTCAGTGGGATGGGCAAGTGGCTTGGAAGTTAAAAGCCTCTGCAATTGGGATCAATGTGGATGAAGCCAATAGTGAGCCATACATACCTAAATTGTGCTCATATACATATTATATATACATATATACATATTTTGTATATATATATATATTTAATGATATCTATATATTATATAAATATATATATACATGTCTACATAATTATACATACCTGGTCTGATACCTAGATTCATAGCCGGTTTGATGCGTAGTTTCGTTCCATTTGGACGGCCTCTAAATGAGGACTTCTTAAAATGGGAGATCCCCAGTCATAACCATGGTTTTAATACTCAAATGGTCAATAACTGGATGATTTAGGGGTACTCCCGTGGATTGGAAACCTCCAAATGTAGCTAAATATAGAAGCAGCATCGAGCATGCCACCGGTCACGCCACACAGGTTCCTATGATGCCATCCTCAACTCAGCGAACGAGACGCTGGAAGGGCCGTTGCTAGGCGGCCGCCAGGTTAGGGCAATTAGGACAAAGCTAAGCATGCAAAACTAAACATGTAAAAGGGGATATAATTGAAACATAAAGGATGGGAATGCATGGTATATGATGTGTATGAATTAGAACATAAGCTGGGATTTGAATCATAACAGGTTTATGATGATGTCTATAGTATATGATGGGAACAAACACATGAATCGCTATACATCTAAAGATGCTACACTGTCAATCGACATCTTCAGCTACTCTGTGCCCGTCCGCCCGTGACTCACAGGTGGAATAGATCCCCGATGACCGACTAAGAATTCCCCTCTTGTTGGCATGATCTTTGAAAGTGGAGCAACTTGGGGGATCTTGGGTGCGTTTGAAAATGGGATATACCATGATATACCCCTCATGGCCAATCTTGCCTAGAACATCATTATAAACCACCAAATTTGAGGGATATCCTGACAAAGCCACTTTTCGGATGCATGTGCTCGCCGAGGCTCTTTCCTTATTTTCCAATTGGCCAGGCTCTAAGTCGGCTTCGATTTCGCAAGAAATGGGATGATGATCCCCATTTTTGTCCATATTTTCTCAGGGGGCAATGCTTCAACTAGACCGATCAGCTAAGATGTCCTCTTATACAACTGCGTTCGCGACATGTTTTTTTTCCGCAGGTGCAGAGTGTGAGAGCGGTGATGTATACTACCAGGAAGATGTCGTGCGCAGCTGAGGGTAGATGACCTGGAGTGTGTGTCTGAAAATGATTCCTATACAGATATTATGTATGCAGCAATAAAACTACCCAAATGGCAATTTTACTAGCGACAAATTATGCTTAACCTTGGATTTTGGGGTAGACTATTTTCAAAATGGACAAACCCATTTGAGATTCATCAATCGTTCCATGTGTCACAAGATCTGAAGCATGTGTGAATTCCTGGCGGAGTGTCAGATTATGTCGGATGAAGCAGCCGCCGTTTCTGTGATACTTGTTGCAAATCTTCGAACAATAGTACTTTTCTATATATATATATATAGACACAAATCTATATTTGGAGTATCAGAATATTGGCTGGTATCTTCGAACAATGGTACAAATCAAAGTATCTGAAACTCTCAATAGCGCCCTGCCACTGTCAACGCTTGCCATGTTATCGCGAGACCCAGATGGCCAGCTGTCTGAAAATAGGTTGTCCCGAGAAATTGCTGGTTGAACACCATAATTGTCTACATTAAAATAACCCTAAAATCGGGTATACGGCAGTTTCAGATACACCCACATATCATATTGAGTCATATGAAGTTGGTTTTGTTATTACATCATGAAACATGCCCTTGATATTCCCAGCATGTTTGGTTTATAATATCATATTTTTGTTTGCTTCAATTCACATAAACTCTCATTGTATCATAATATATCCCAGTATGTGCTGATTCACTTGCCATTAAATTCCGATGTTGGTGAGAACATCTCATGAAATTTCCCATCTTTTGTTGTGGTGAAATTCCCATTAAGTCTCACTATATCCTGATATTTGTTGCTGAATTCCATATTTTGGTGGATAAAATCCCATGAGCTCCCTTTTTTTCGTTGGTTACCCCGGGGTAAACATGGTTAAACTAACCGTTCAATGTGGTTTTCCCATGGGTTTGCCATGGGTGGTTTTATGTTGGCTCCAGGTGGATGGTCGGATCCACTGTGCTGGTGGACCTACCTTGAGCTTCTGGGATTGGTTGAGGACAAAGACGGCAAAATTAGTGGTAATTTAATGGGATTTAATGGGGTTTCACCATCAACTTTGGGATTTGATGGGATTTCACCATCAACTATGGGATTTAATGGGATTTCACCATCAACTATGGGATTTAATGGGATTTCACCATCAACTATGGGATTTAATGGGGTATGGCATTTAATGGATTTCACCATCAACTATGGGATTTTAATGGGATTTCTCCTTAAACGTTAATGGGATTTAATGGGATTTTACCTTCAACTATGTTAATGGGATTTAATGTGACTTGATGATAGTTAACCTCTGGTAGTTTAACATAGCTGCACATAGCTATTGAAAATGGCCCAAAGAAATAGTTTATTTACCTATTAAAGATTGTTATTTGTTTTCCATAGCTATGTTAGTTTACCAGAGGGTAACCATAGCTTAACCATAGTTGTTGTTGATAGCTAGAAGTCTGAATCCAGACTTTTCAGGCTCTTTTCAGCCACTTTTTTTACCCAAGAATGTTTGGGCCAAGAATCATAGTTTAATCATGTTTAATCATAGTGTTCCTATAAAACAACTTTAGTATGATGTGACTATATCACTGTTTTTCTCGCATTAGTTATGTACCCTTATGACACAACCATTTTCAGCGTCTCTTTAGGCTGAATCATTGTGACCCTTGTTTGCCACCCATGCTTACGGAGAGATTGTGGGGACGGAACTCAGATTTCCGGATTGTTTTCGATTTTTTGTACGTGTGGATGTATGATGTATTCAGATTTCTCGATTTCTCGTTCCGAAGTCATTGGTTCCTTCAGCACCTTCATCAGCTGATAAAATGGACATGAACTGACCACATTTCATGGCCATGGAACTCGTCGGCTGACTCACTCTGGAACTCAGGTCGATTGTGTCGGAAGCTGCCGGAGCTGTTGGGATCCCAGCAGGGGGAGCAGAAATGACTCAAGTCAGTGCATGATGACTTGGAGCGGAGGTTTCCTGAAAATGGGGGTACCCAAAATGAATGGTTTATGATGGAAAATCCGTCTATAAATGGATGATTTGCGGGTAACACCATTTTGGGAAACCTCCATGTATTAGTGTTTTTGTAAAGCAGTAGTAAAGCAATAGGATGCACCATCCTCATTTTTATCATAAAAATAGAAGTGGGATTGTGTGGTTATTAATATGAATATGTGAGAAAAGCAAAAATAAACCATATTGATCGATGGCTGAAATCCCACCCATGTTTGGTAAACTTGTGGATGGTGGATCCTATTTTTCATTCACACTATCAAGTAGATATGAAAATGAGGATGTTGTATGCAACACAATTCGGGGAAACTCGTACAAAAAATCACATAATGTGAGTAAAGCAATAGGATGCACCATCCCCAAATTTACCTTCAAAAGAAAGGAGGATTTCAACCATCCATATGGGTGGTTTTTTTATTCCTTTACATACATTAATTAATATGTATACTAATTACATCGTACCAGCAATGCATGGTCAAATGCTAAGGAAGCCATTTGTTTGTGGTTCCTTTGGTACCATTTGCTAGAATTGGATTCGGGGAATCACATGACCGCATGATAAAAGCTATTTTCAGGTCAGTGAACTATTATGATTCAGCCAGATATATGATATATGTATATTTTCTTATATACATATAGTAATATTATTAATAATGATGACTATATAAAGATATATATATATATATTATATATTTATGTATATAAATATATTATTATATTATATATTATTATATTATATTATATTATATTATATATATGCATATACATATATACATACAAATATATTTGAAATATGTATAGATACATATTATATATATATATGCGTATAATACATATATGACTTGTTATCCTTTGAAAGTGGATTTGCACCGGCTGGAGCTTTTGGGGATCAAGTGCATGAGCTATTTTGTCCTCCCCGAAATTCTCCGTGAACTTCGTGGCTGGACTTCCCCGGTTGGTTGTCCTTGGGGCGCAATAGGCCTAGCCATTTGCCTCATCGGTTGTTGCTGTTGGGTGACTGGTTTCATCTTTGCCTCCATCATCTTTTCCCATCAGTGCAGAAGGTTGCTCAGTTTTGCTGCGCGAGCTTTGAGTGTGGGGTTGGCGCCTGCTGGAGTGCAGGAACTGGATTTGAGAGGGCGATTATCCCAGTATCATCGCAATAGTTGATGCAATCCTCTGGATCTGATCCTGTTGAGAACTTGACTGTTTTGATAGGAAATTTAGAGATCTCAATTTTTGCTCGATACCGGGGTGCTGACCGGCATCAATCTCCTCCTCCAGTGACTTTGATTTCAGCCTCCTCAACAACTACCTTGACAACCAGTGTGGCAGGACCTGAGCTTCCTCAGACCAGCTGGGACCGGGTGGAAAGTGCTGTGGAACTCCCAAATCATTTGGTGACGCGGATTATCCGTAGCACCACTCCTCACGAGTATTCATCCATTCAAGTGGCTCATTTGGAACCTTTGTTGTATCGGCTTCGCAGTTCAGATCAAGTGTGGACCCCGCACGCACGATTGGTGCGTGCCTATCGTGCTGGGCTTCTGGCACGTCGGTGGTTGGACGGTGAGTCGTCCGGTGAAGACAGTCCTGCTGTCCCCCTTCGAAACAGCTTCTACGTGGTTTTGAGGAGCCGGGACAACGGCCCTGCTTTCTGGACCAAACATTACAACATCTACGCAGCCGAGGTCTTTGTGTCCCGTGGGGGCCAGCAAGTCTTTGATCGCTGTGCGGTTTCGCACGCCTTTGCCTCGCAGGCGGAGTGCTCAGCATACATCAGTGGGGCTCAGGTGGCATGGCCGCCCGAGAAGCTATGAATGCATGGGAGAAGGGAGCTGTGCTCGAAGAAGCACAGCGCTCTGCCAGAGATGGGAGCGTCCCCGTCATTCACTATGTGGTGGGCGATCCGTCAGATGGCAGCAATACCATAGCAGTTTGCTACCTGGTCTACGTCAGGCTGGGGGGTTTTATGCTAGCAATTCCGAATTCAGAAGATGTGCAAGCAAGCATCGCTCAATTGGCAGATTTGGGAGAAGGCGAGCCGGCTTTCACTACCTCAGAGGTGGAAGTGGAAAGTACGCGCCAGCGCAGCCTGGGCGCAGTTACCATGGGTTTGGTGGATCTCCCTTGGGAACTTGTGGGCTATTTCTCAAAGCCAGCCGCCCCAAGAAATGTTTTGCCTCGTGGGGCCCAAGTGATTCAACTGAAGGTGAACCGCTCCATAGCTCGACCAGTTCGAGCCAGTTTGCTCGAAGCAGCAGACGCTTGGATCGGGTCTGCAGGGATGGAAGCCGATACTGCACAGGAATATCTCACTGGCGAGGAATGGCTGGACTCTCCAGCCCATGCTCAGGATCAGCTCGATCCTGCCAGCGCTCCAGACGGCAGCGCTTCTCCTGCGGTGGTGCAGAATCTACTGGCTCGAATCGCCGAGTTGGAAGCTCAAGTGAAGACTTCAGTGGCGCCGAACTTGGGGATGGCCCCTCGGCAACCAGGACCGGAGCATGTCAAGTCTTCACCCTTGGTGCCGTTGGATCAGGGCCAGACCTTGAGTGCCCAAGAATGGGATCGCATCAAGAAGTTGGCTGGAGCTCCTCCTCCTCGAGTGGGATCTGTAGAGCAGCGCAGAACGACCGTCTCCGCTCAGACTGGGTTGATGGATCAAGCTTTGGCCCTACAAGAGAAGGAAGCAGAGGAAGATCCAGTGGGCAGCGACGACTTTGTCGCCCTGGTGGCTGCATCGAAAGACCCGCTGCAGCAAATGTTGGCAATGCAGCTTCAGCAGAACCAGATGTTGCTCAAGAAGCTTGTGCCCAAGCAGACGGATCCTGTCTTAGGGGCCCTGTCCGGGTCCGGCTCGGACAGCGCTTCAGGAGGTGGCTCAAATGTAAAGGGCTGTCTCGCCCGGGAGGCGTACCTCAAGGCTGTGAACGACCTCCCCAAGGTGGCCGCAGTTGCAAGGGCCAACGCTCTGAAGGAGTTAGGCTACACAAGCGAGAGAGACGATGGAGCCCTGATGAAGCGCTATGTGGAGCGCAGGATTCCTCTGGCCGAGTTTCGACAGCTCGCCTTGATGGCGACCATGCTTGCGGAAGCTTGGCAAGTCGGTCATGCCAGCCAGAACTTCGAGCTCCTGGGCCTTGTGGCAAGGATGTTGTTCTTTGTGGAACAGACGGCATTGGATGGTGGCAGAACTCAATTGTCCTGGCTGCTGACGGGATATACAGATCCGTCGACCCACATGCTGATGACCTCAAAGAAGCGCCCAGGCCTCCAACCCTTTTCTCGCCTCTGCGCTCCGGCCTGGGTCTCGGGCAATCTTGCCTATCTCCGAGATTTGGACTTCCTGGAAGCTCGCATGGCGAGCGTGGGCAAACCTCCCAAGACCCTGACTTGGGACGACGAGCACGATGCAAAGCCAAGTCCAAAACCCAAAGGCGCTCCCAAGTCGGGCGGCGGCAAAGGAAAGGGCAAGAAGTCATCTCCAGCAGCTGCAGCCGAGTCAACTGCGGAATCCTGACTGCTGAGCCTGAGTCCCAGTAGTCTGGATAATTCCTCCTTTTCCCATAGTCCGCCTCGTCATAATTATTCTGCCGATGATGAAGTTTTTAACTTGCACCATGAAGATAAATTTAATAGCCATCAGTTTGACCCCCTTAGGCTTATGCATGTTTTAGTTAAAGAGTTTTGGACCAGTCAGTCGGGTCTCAGAACTTTTGCGCAGGCCAGTCTGACTGGCCCCACCTGCACTGTGCAAGAGGACCAGCATGGTCCCCTGTGGCCTGTCCCCCCCGTCAGGTGGCGTTGGACGGCTTCCTCAAAGCTATCACCTCGTCGACGGAAGTGCCGGCGAGCTCATGCGCTTCGCAGTGAGTTGCTGAATTTGATACTAGTTTCCTTCAATTGGATGGTTCTAGGTTTTCCAAAACAGCCTCCAAATCATGCCCGAATTGGGGCGTCTATTAGCGTACAGCAGCATGAGTGCATCGAACGTCTCGAACTTATGCTAAGACACCATTTGGACATGGGCCCTTTTGAGGGGTCCGATCTGGGTCGTGCATCTGGCAAGTTCGTTGGCATTTTGCATGCGTTAGAGGAACTACCTAGGAGTGATCTTAGGGTTGAGGACCTTTTTGAATGTTTGTCTAATTTGCACAGCAGTTTTGACCCATACAAGTCGTACTTCAAGCCAGTCAGGAGTGAGCCAAATTTGAATCCTCCTGAGCACAATCCACATCGTACCTGTGAGCGAGACATGGATGGCCGCACTGCTACAGTGCCCATTTGCAGTGCCAAAGCCGTGACTTCGTCCCGTGTCAAATGGGAATATCCGCCGTCTTTTCACGCTGCTGAGTTTCTAGGACCTGTTGTCAAAGAAGCCTTTTTGGACCCAGAAGTCCTCCGACTCCCGGCAGATCAATGGCCCCCAAGCAAACCTGCAAAAATGCATGTGAGTCGACAGGAGTTTCTAAAGCTGGTAGAACGCTGGGACCAACTAGGTGCTTGTAGGCTGTTTGATGCCGACTGTAAAGACTTCGATGAAGCTGTCGGCATCTTTTGCGTCGACAAGGACACGGAGTATGACCGACTCATAATCAACCCCAAAACTATTAACAGTAGGATGGCCAGTGTCTCTGAAGCTACTCGTGATTTAGCTCCTGGATCCATGCTTTCCTTGTTGTCTTTGGGTAGTGATGAGTGTTTCCGGTTTTCAGCAGATGATCTGACGGATTTTTACTACACATTCCATGTGAGTGACAAGCGATGTCGCAGGAATATTTTCAGGATGAAATTGTATGACCATGAAGTGAAACATCTTTCATGTTATGATTCCAGTCTCCAAGGTCGCTCAATCTTGGTTGGTCTTGCCACTTTGGCCATGGGGGATTCATTGGCTGTCGAGATAGCCCAACAAAGCCACTGTGCCGTGTTACGGGTTTGTGCTGGTGCTATGGATCCCCATGAGTGTTTGAGGTATAGGTCCCCCATCCCTCGTTCTGAGTTTGTGGAATTATTAGCTATAGATGATCACGTTGGCATTCAAAAACTGAAAACTTGTGATTTGCCTGATAACCCACCACTCCGTGATACCACAGTCTTCGCCAATGCCGAAGTTGCGTATAAGCAGGTTGGACTTGTGCAACACGAAAAGAAGCGAAAACGTAACCAAACCCAGGGGATCATCTTAGGTGCTGATTTTGACGGAAAAGCTGGCTGTGTAATGGCTCCCCGGAGCCGACTTGCACTCTTGAGTATACTTTCCATGCATGTTGCTGTGATCGGAACTTGTACTCCTCGAATACTCTCTATATTGGTAGGGTGCTGGATCCATGTCCTTTTATTCCGACGTCCCATGTTTGCTATCATGGATGCCGTGTTTCATGAAGGCAAGGGTCGAAAGCAAGATGGAGTTTTTCACTTGTCAAGCCGTGCTCGTTCAGAACTGCAGTTGCTTGCAATTCTCGGTCCAACAGCCCAAGCCGATTTAAGAGTAGGCCATTCCTCAAAGATCTTTTGCACTGACGCGTCTCCCACTGGAGGCGCGGTTACGTTTGCCCAAAGCACTAGTCAAGCCACAGCCGAAATTTGGCGTCATTGTGAACAACGGGGTTTTTATTCAAAGTTGCAGTCTCCAGTTTCAGTCATCCTTGAAGAAAAGGGTTTTGAGCCTGCCAGCAATGAGCAGTTCACACCTGACATCGAGCAGTTTGTGGATTTCAGCACACGCAACATCCCAGCCTCTATGTCTGAAGGGATTATCTTTGACTGTATAGAACTGTTCCGTGGTAGTGGGAATTGGTCCAGTGCACATGAGCAGCGGGGCTTTAGAGTTCACCCTGGCATCGAGCTTGATGGCCGCTGCTTGCGCGTTGCTGACATGGCTGACACTGCAGTGTTTCATGAGTTATCCTCCTTGGCTTTGCGCAGAGTTGTCAAGGATTGGCATGCGGGGACACCTTGTGTTAGCTTTGGTACTTTGCGGAAGCCTCAAGTTCGGTCAAAAGAATTTCCATCTGGTTTCAATCCGGATGAGCCATTCACTAGGTATCATAACATGTTGGCCCGCCGCACAGCCTTCATTTTGACCATTGCCGTCATGTCAGGACAGTTCATCAGTGTGGAACAACCTGGGAGCAGCCGGATGTTTCTTTTGCACTGTTATCAGGTGCTGGTGATGCTTGGATGTGTTGTAAGTCACTTCTGTTTTTGCGCGTATGGCAGCGCTTTTCAAAAACCCTCAAAATGGTTGCATAATAAGCCTTGGGTAGTTGGGTTGGAAAGTACATGTACTTGCCCTTGGAAAGGTCAGCATTTTGTTGTGCAGGGTTCATTTAGTGCGCAATCCCTCAAAGATTTCAAACGTCGTTGCCGTCCCTCATGCATGGCTGTATATGGATGTGAGCCCCGGGTTGGAGATTTGGTTTCCAAATTTTCTGGTGCATACCCTTTTCTGCTTGTCCAGCAGATGGCTTCCGGCCTGGCCCAGGCATGTAGGGGTAAAATAGGCAGGATCTCTCCCGAGGTCAAAGCTAGATCTTTGAAAGAAGTGGGATTGCCTGAGGCTTTTGAGCCTGCAACTTTTTGCACTGAGGACGTCTTTTCCAGTCGCCCTTGGTTTGAAGACCCGGAGTGGATAGGAGAGATTTGCAACAGTTTGCGATTCCGAGAGATGTTCCGGTATCGCTTCAAGAAGTCGGGGCACATCAATGTGAATGAAGCCCGAACCTACAAGTCATTTTTGAAGGCAGCAGCAAAAACTGAGCCGGATTCGAGACTGGTTGGAATTTTGGACAGTCGCGTCACGATTGGCGCAGCAGCCAAAGGGCGTTCGAGTTCATTTGCAATCAGCAGAATTTTCCAGGGCTGCCTCCCTTATATCATTGGATCAGGCCTGTACCCTGGTTTGCTACATTGTTATTCGGACATGAATCGCAGTGATGGACCTTCGCGAGACGGGCCAGTTGCTCCCCCTTCGCGAGCCATTCCTTCGTGGTTTGAGGATCTTGAGCAAGGCCGCACCGAAAAATTTGATGCGGTGGTAGCCTCTAGCTGTTTTTCAAAGAATGCGGCGCGATGGTTGAGGTTTCTGCTTTTGCTAGCTGGCGACATCGAGCGAAACCCTGGTCCTATGAGGGGACCCATGGATTTGAGCATTGGATTTGTCAAAGCTACCTCAGACCGTATGACTAAGTGTCTGAATGCCTTTTCAGTCTGGTTGCAAGAGCATTTGGAGGTTTCTTCTGAAGCAGTCTTTTCCGATATGCAGGCTCTGGTTTGGAGCTTACGTGCCTATGGCTTGTATTGTTTCGAGCAAGGGCTTCCAAGATACATGTTTACGTATGCCATCACTGCTGCTCAGGATCAGTTTCCAGCCTGTAAGCCTTTAATGAATGTTGCTTGGCAGATCGATCGAAAGTGGCAGTTTCACGAGCCCGGGGTTTGCCGTGCCGTACTCCCAGAAGTCATCATTAAAGCGATAGCATGCCTCTCAGCTCTATGGGGTTGGAAGAACTGGACAGCTTTGTTTTTGCTCGGTTTTGCAGCTATGTTGCATCCTAGCGAGATGCTGAACCTTTGCCGCCAGGATTTGGTTTTTCCCAGTGATCTGCATTCTTCAACTTTTGCCATGTACGTCCGAGTGCGCGATCCGAAGACAGCTCGATTTGCCCGAAGGCAACATAGCAGGATTGATGATTCTAGTGTGATTCGAATCGCTCAGGCCGTCTTTGGAAATTTGCCATTATCTGCGAAGTTGTTTCCTGGGTCTATGCATGTTTTCCGGAGGCAGTGGAACTCCATTATGAGTCGCATTGGCGTACCATACAAACAATCAGAACGTGGTGCGACCCCCGGTGTCTTGCGAGGATCCGGAGCAACATATTTCTACTGCACTACCGAAAACTTGGCCTGGGTGGCTTGGCGTGGCAGATGGTCCCGTTTGCGGACTTTAGAGTTTTATTTGCAGGAAGTTGGCTCACAGATGTTGATCCATGAGCTGGATCCATGGGCAAAAGCAAAGGTTTTTACGTTAGCTGATGCGTGTCCCGCTGTTCTCTGGTCAACGTTTCTTGCAGAGCAGAATTGCAGGAGTGGAAGTGGCTTGGATCTCTGAACGAGTTTGACTGGTTTGTATGATGATGCATCTTCACTATGTCATTGAGGAGGTCCTCACGACCAGAGTTGATCGACTTGCAAACGCAAGTTGTGACCAGAGACATCGGGAATCTTAGTGCAAGCAGGTGGAAAAAGGATGACTTGTTATCCTTTGAAAGTGGATTTGCACCGGCTGGAGCTTTTGGGGCCCGGCCCAGTCCCCCCCATTTTTTTGTCTGGAAGTGGCTTGGATCTCTGAACGAGTTTGACTGGTTTGTATGATGATGCATCTTCACTATGTCATTGAGGAGGTCCTCACGACCAGAGTTGATCGACTTGCAAACGCAAGTTGTGACCAGAGACATCGGGAATCTTAGTGCAAGCAGGTGGAAAAAGGATATATATATATATGATGTATATATATATATATATGCTTTTTTAAACTTTCCATGATATATATATATATATATATATATTTACATACATACAATATTTATTTTTGTATATATATATATATACATATGTATGTCATATATATATGTATATATATATGATATTTGTTATGTATATAATATATGTATGTTTTATTTTTATATATTCTAGACATATATACATCATATGTATATATATATGACATATAAACAATATATATATATATATCATTATTTAATAAAAAAAATATTACTATATTTAGGCAAAAACAATGTAGCACATTCTCATGGCTCGCAGCGTTGCGTCTTCGCTCGGTGAGGCCTCCAAGCGATGATCCTGAAGCTCCTTTTCCCAGAAGCTCGACAGTTGAGGGTCCCCGGGAACGATAGTTGAACTGGTTGATGATTGGCTACCCTCTGGTAGGGACATATTGAACATATGGAATTCACTAGGTCTAGGTATTCATCTATAAAATGGTCCGCTTTCCATAGATAAATTACCAGAGCGTAGCTAGTATATAGATCTATATCTATATATTCATATGATGTGTATTATGTGGGGGTGATATAGCCAACATATATATATATATATATATATATATAGAGAGAGTGAGGTGGAATTATAGGTTAACTTATAACTAGGGGGCCTTCCTCTGTCTTAGTGGCTCATGAGTTTAATACATAAATATATAGATATAGATATAGATATGTATATATGTACATATATACATTTATATATATATATGTATATACATACATGGGGGAATATGACACTGTGTCATAGTCGGCTTTGATCGGTAACAAACCATTGCCGTAAATTCCTGGGTCTTCTCAACATTTCGTTTGTTTGATTCCTAATATACCCTCCAGTAAATTAACATAGACCCTGGAAGATAGGGTTGGAAGACTAGTTTCCATTCAAAAATTGTGATTTTCAGGGTCTATGTTAATTTACTGGAGGGTATCTGTTTAATGTGGTGAACCCAACGTTTTAAACCATTCCAACGTTTTGATGTGGCTGGCATGTTTAAACATGGTGAACTTCTGATCCTGGTGGCACGGCGGCATGCTTTGTTGACTTTCGCTTCTCGCCACAATCCTTTCAGATGGTGTTTCCCTTTCATATGCGCCTTAATTAATATTTTTTTAAGACTGTTGAGGTGTCAGGCACTGTTTCGCCTCCGGATAGGATCACTCCAACTTTCTGAAATCTAGCAACCCCCCCCCAAAAAAAAAATAAAAAAAAATGGTAAAATCCCACTGACATGGTGATAACATTTGATTTAGGTGGCTTTCCCCAGCACCAAAAACTTCGCCCCGGCTTCACCGCTCGCCCAAGGTGCGTATACGCAACGCTGTGAGATCGGAGGCGCTCGCCTCACCGAGGCGAACCCCTTCCCAAAAAAAAATGGTACTGTTCTGCAGTCATATATTGGGAATATATATATACTGTATATTACAATTTCATGACTACAATTCTTGGTAAATGTATGTTAACAACAATTTGTTAATGCATTGATAAATGTGAACAATTTGACCCTGATGACCGTAATATATTGGTAATATACTGTATACCCAATGCTTAGTGGAAACATGTGGAAACTAAGAATTTCCAACCAAGTCATGTATCATGGCATCTATGTGAATTTACTGGAGGCTAATTGATAACAGACAACTAAATGTATGGTTGTTTACCATCAGATGCAATCTAAGATCCGATTTCAGAATCGCTGGTAAAGTATTTGTTCAATCTTTTTCGGGGGGGCACATGATTTAGACTCGAATTTCTGCATATATATATAATACATGAAGATGTGAACTGGTATGATGGAACGATGTTTTTTTTTCACATTTTGTGACAGGGTGTTTTTGATGGGTCCACATGGGGTGTTAATATTTCGAAGGATGGGATTCATAACCAACTATCCCACTGGACAGGTTCCAGGGGAGAGCGAGTTGGTCAGCCCGCCCTGTAGAGAGAGGATCCGGGGCCCTCATGGGAGTTGGCCCCGGTTCCGCCGCCTTGGCTGGTGGTTCAATTCGATTGGAAATGGCTCATCTATAAACAGAAATCCCTACTGCATCTGCATCTTGTTATTTGTGTCTTTGTCCTAATCGTGGTTTGTGTTTTACAAAAAATCCAACTTGGTCCAAACAATTTTGAGAAATTCAGTATCCCGAAGACCTATGTATCGTGACGAAACTGGTCACTGATTTTCCTCCCTTAAAATTGGGTTTCAAATTTCATACCTTCCAATATGTTCTCCTTCGGGGTGTAGTGGAATCAATGTTGACCCAAGCCTTGGGAGTTGATCAGTTTGGAGTTGAAGCAACATCATGCCCATGAAATATGAAGCATTATGAATCCTTTCCCCCTAATATCAAATGGGTGTCTGACTTGGGATACATATATCAATGATAGTTATTGGATGTTATATTAATGATAGTTAATGGATGTTATTGTTATCCAAGAGAAATATATGATCGGTGTCCAAAACCATCCAAAACCCTTGTTGGTTAATGATTATAGAGCATTATTTTACTATACCCAATATATTGGGGATTATAATCCAACAGAACATCCAAAATATCAACAAAAAATATACTACCAATTATCTTCTATTTTTATTGGAGGTTAATCCAATGATAGTAAAATAATTCAATAGAATTATAATCAATGGCCATTTCTAGTTGATTTACCCATATTAAACATTTAAAAAAATCGTGATTTTCCATAGTCTTTTGTTTGTTTCCCAGAGGGTGTCTGATCACTCTCTCCTGGGCGTCCCGCCGCTTTTCGCCAGGCAGCTCACTGCCGATACGTGGTGCATGCAGTGGCGCCCATCTGGGTCCGGGCGCCTGGTGTTTCACCGCGGAATTCACCAACAAACATAGGGAATCATTGGATGAAAACATGTTCCCTGCAAACCCCGGGTTCGCCCAAACAACACATCCAAAGAATATGATATACTATCACCAGAGGATGAATGAATACTCTGACTAGACGCAGGTATTTTGACTTTGAGTTTTCAGGATTTAGGGTTTTAATTTAGGGTGTGGGGTTTTAGGGTTTTAGGGTTTTAGGGTTTTAGGGTTTGTTGTTTTGGAAAGTGAAAAACTCAAACCCAACGCAGGGATTTGAGCATGTCAAAGGACATGCGGGATTCGCCGCGGGCAACCCTAGGGTTTGCAGCGAACATGTTTTATGGTGGGTTGTTAGAGTTTGCTGGCGAAAAGCACCGTTTTTTTTTTCCCGCAGCTATGTTAAGTTACCAGAGGGATCCCTGAGGGTGACCAAAACATTGGGGTGTAGATATCAGAAACTGTGGGAACCTGGGATGGGTCCTGGATGGATCAATCATCTCCTCAGCCATTTTTGATTGGCTATGGAAATAGTATTTTAACAATACACATATGGTAATGTGGTATTCAATCATCCCAGAATAAGGATTCAAGAATTCAGATTTCAAAAGTAGTGATTCAACCAGGCAACGCAAATGGATTGGGATTGTGGGGGTAGGTCCTGTAACCTATGATCCATGAGTTTCGCTTATTGGGGGGAAGAGCATCCACAGCATAAGCAGCAGCTAGTTTGGTGTGAACAGCAACAATGTCAAAGGAGGCATGTCTCTATCAATATAAAAGACTTATTGAGGAAATGTCGGTAAGTTGAACATGTGAAAATATGGCCTGACTTTTCATTGTTATTGGGGTTTATTTGTGGGTCTTGCACCATTTGGCTGGGTGAGGCTTCATGGGATGGGGTGGACCCTGGGGGCGGCACTAAGGGTTTGTCCTGACGAGCACCCCTCATCCCCTCCTACGCCGGTGCAAGAGTGACAGTGCCGCGTTTGCTGCAGCCATTTGATTGCTCTTGGCGTTCGGCACGCTGTTTGGTCGTTGCCCTTGGTGTTGCGTTTCGAGGGCGCTTTCGGGCTTTTGTCCGCTGCGGTTGGTGTTTGCCGCTAGTTGTGGATGGGGGTTGTGGTTGGTGTTTGTCTTTTGGCGCTTTGGATACATGGAACATCATCGAGCTAGTAAAAGTAGTGTTGTTCATTCAATGGGAATCTCAGGAGCCTAATTTAGGTAGTAGTTGCCTCCAATCTAAGTACCTGAAATAGCCATTGACTCATGGGGGTAACAGAAATCAAGGCCGGTGATCTGGACCCTTACGAGCAAGAACGACGCTTGAGGCTGCTGACCAAGGCACGGACTGGCTGCTCATGTTTTTTGAGACGTTTTGGAAAGCTCTTCGTCACAACATCTTTGGTTGGTGAGAAATCCACCTTGAGGGGTTGAAGTCACCATTTTGGATTCGCCGCGATGTGCTTTTCCTACCTTGATGCGAAGGTTTCCCAGAGATTTCTGAGATTTGCTAAATCAACCTGAAGTGCCCCGGCTTTCCAGAAATGGATCCCAACCCCACTCAACTGCTATGTAGCTAAGACAATCTTGTGCCTGGATCCACTTCTGGGAAGCGCTTGAATCTCTGGTCCATGACTAGCACGACCAGAAACTACCTTACTTAGATCTTTCAATACCCTGTGTCGGAGGGTTATCAGATCAGATGATTTTCACAATATGAGAAAAATATCGTTATCAGATTGAATTTGCAAAAAATGCAAAAAATGAAAAACAATTCAAAACATGTCATATCTCAAAATATCCAAAAATAATCTCGAAAAATCTCAAAAGAACCGAACATCTGGAGGGTCTAAGTGGGAAGTAAAGGAAACAACTATTTGGGACACCAAAAAATCTCAAAATATTTGAACAAATATTACAATAATATCTCAAAAAAAACAAACATGCCAGAAAGTGCAAGAACATGCAAAACCATGTGTTGATATGCAAGCACAGCAGTGATCAGCATGGCTATGATTGTGAGGGTTGCAGCAAAGTCATTTGCCTTCAGTGCCTCACTTGTGTGCTAGCAGCATGGTGCAGCATGTATGTGGTGAACCAAACAAAATGTTTATCATCAAAAACATGATTCAAAATGATAGTAAACGGGAAAAATGAAACACATGAAACATGTGAAAAAAAAATAAATGCAAAAACATGCAAAAACATGCAAAAACATGCAACTATTTAAAATATATGCTGATAGTAGCAACCCTTGTCTGATCTCATTACCTTCTGATACGGGGTATTGAATTATCTAAGTGACTATCTATTTTCTCATTGAACTGGTTTACGTGAACATTTGCAGGAAACCCTTATGTTTCATGAAGAAAACTCGTCGTTCTCCTGTAGATGTTCCCTTTCCTGCCCTTTCCAATCCAGTGATTGACATCCCTGGGGTGGCGCTGTCCAGGCCTATGTCTCTGCTTTCCAAGTCTCAGCAGCTGCGGCCTGTCCAGTGTCAGAACTGCCAGGGCCGAGCGCCGGGGCGATGGAATCCATGGGGGTATCCCAAATCATCCACTGTAAAATCGGACTTTCCATTGCGAACCATCCAGGTTTTGGGGTGCCCCTTCAATTTAGGAAAGTTCCATATATATATATATATATGTATATTATATGTATATATATATATGTATATATATATATTTAATGAGTATAGAGATAAATAGATATTAGATAACAGTTCTATATTGTAGATAGAGATAACGATTTATGATTGTGATATTTTATCTATGTCCATACTGTCATGATTGGTTTAACAGATGTAAATCCCGTGAGTCATTTGTTCCTGGAAACCCATCAGCGGCCTGGTGGAGTATTTTCGTTGGTCCACCACCCGTGTTTCTTGGTGAAGTTTCCTATTTGTTGATTAAATCTCGATGTTTCTTGGTGAAATCTCGATTTTGTTAGTTCAATCTCAGTTTTTGTTGCTTAAATGTATATGTTCCTTCTTTCAATTTCCATGTGAAAATCGCGCTTCTTGGGGCAGCCTCCATGAAAACTGGGAGCTGAGGCAGAGCCTTTGTAGCTCTTTGCTGGGTGCCGGGGCCAAGTCCAGACCTTGGGGACCAGACAGCGAATGGTTGGTGGTTTGGAACATGGCTTTTATGTTTCCATATATTGATATATTGGGAATATACATCTTTTATGTTTGGAATATATATATATATATATTAGGAACATATATTGGGAATGATGATCCCAACTGACTTTCATATTTTTCAGAGGGGTAGGTCAACCACCAACCAGATACTAGATACGCATGTACATATACATGTATGTAACAACTTAATGTATAGGTAAATATGCATATGTATATTCCTTGACTCAAGCCTCAGTCGACCAATAAGAATTCCTGCGTGACAGCACTGTCCACCCCCTGCAAATCACTGGTGGAATGGATTGTTTTTTTGTCTGGTCATCTTGAGGGTGTAGTTTTCATTGGAGACGGTATCTCTACATTATATCTCATTATATCTCTATCTATCACCTATATTATATGATATCATATGCTATTATATCGTAACTACATCGTGTTTTTATGATTTATGACTATACTGTCTCTAGAACTATACTACATAATATATAGTTATATATATATATACTACCTGACTATCTATGATATAGTTTGCTATATATATATATAACTATATATTATTTGCGAGATTTACATATGTATATATAACATAACTTTTAGATAATACAGAACTATATTCGTTATACGTTAAACTAAATATATAAGCTATATATTAAACTGTATGTATTTGTGATATATCAACCTGTATATATATATATATACATACATATGTATATATGTATATATATATATATACATACATATGTATATATGTATATACATTTATATATATATATACATATATATATATATACATATATATATATATACATATGTACATGGAAAATGACAAACATAGGGATTCCAAAATAGCCCCAAGATCGGGGAAGCTAGAAACCAACCCAAAAATGGCTAGCATACTTCTGATGCGGAACTTTTACTTTAATAACTCAGGTCTATTTTGGATTGTCTGAACATAGGGTAGCCCATCATTTCATTGTTGATCATCATGTTCCCTAGTCATAGCCGTAATAGCTGGCAAAACAAGCAGGAAAATGCCTCATTTTCTGACGCCCAAAACCACATACACTCCCCAAAAATAACATAGAATTGCATGCTATTCCTGAGGTCTCCTAACATGAACCTATGGTACGGTCTCAAGTGGATTTTGTTCCCCAGGAAATCATGCAGCTAACTTGTTTAATCAAATCACTCAAAAACTGACATGGAACCCAGTGCAGGCCCAAATGTGTTTCGCTAACATGGAACCCATTTTTTGTTTTGCCCGACGTTAGTTTTCGGGAGAGTAATTGCTGATGATCCCTGGTTGATCAATCCCCATTTCCAAACCAAACAAATCCAGTGAAAAAAGCGGGTAAATTGCAGATTTGTTGTTGGTCAATGTTGGTCCAGGATATCCCAGGTTTTTACATGTTTTTACCTCCCATCATATCCCAATTAGCGTTGCTATCTGTTGTTTAATGTCATATTTGGGCTGGTACAACCCCATGAAGTCCCAATTTTCCCTACGAATTGTCGAAGGCTATCCATCAATCGAGGCAATTCCCAGTGGATCTTGCAGCTCGTTGTGCCGTGGAAGCCGTGGAGGACTGAGCATGACTGAGCTCCGCCCCGATTTTGGACGGCGATTTTGGCAGGGTCCAGCGTTTGCAAATCCAAGCATTTGGAAGAATTGTCATTGTTGTCATTGTCATATATAAAGTCTGCATATGACTGGCATTTTGGTGATCACTCCTTGGGTGATGCATGTTACATTTTAGCGATCAGCTCGAGTAAGTTGCAAGCAAAGTTGACCTCAGATGGGGATCGGTCGTTGATTTATGATAGGTTTCTGTTGGTCTAATTAGGCCACACTAGCTCTCTATTGGATGAAAAATACAGATGGGTGATCCCATCCTGCATTTTTTAGATGGGTTTTTACATGGAAAAGGCGGAGTACCCACCTTATTTGAACTGATATAAGTCATACACATCGATCTTTCGCCTTTTCGGGATTGGCAAAAGACGATGTTTATCCATGTTTTCTGCATTATCCCAAAGCTGGATAGAAGTTCAAGTCCCCAAATTCAGAATGGTTGTGAATGGTTGTGAATGGTTCATTGATGATGCAGGGGATCCCTTAAAACAAACGAACTCAGCTGAGGTCCTCTCTGGATCTCTGGGGCCACTCGAGCGCTTGGTCTTCATCGACAAGCGCCCTCAATGTGTGGAGCACTTAGCGAAGGAGGCCTGGATGCAGCGTCTTGCCAAGTCCAAAATGCTGCACTTGGCCATTTTGTTCGGATGTTGTTGGGGAAATTTGCAGGAAGGCATAGGCTTTCCCATGAAAATCATGAAATAGAGGTTTTTCCTGCAGATTTTCCCTTCGATTCGCTGAGAAGAATTTGGGATCCACTGGATCACAGTGTCCTCGCCAGTTCAGCAAAGTTCTGGAGACTTAGAGCGTGGCCTGGTTCCTGACTCTGCGCGTGGACGGGTTTGATGTGAAGATGTCAATGTGAAATAAGTTGAGACATTCATGATGGATTTATAGTGGGATTTAGTGGGATGATAATGTGTGCATATGTTTGTGGGATTATAATTATATAGAGAGTGGAATGATTTCTCTGTTGTGGTTTGATAGTGAGCTGACAGCAAGACTCAGCTGATCTCAGCTGTATCGTTCCAGTTCGCCAGTTTAGGGGTCCGCAGACTTGTTGGATCCCAGACTTGGTTTACGGGTTCACAACGAAAACCTCACATCATCTACTGGTAGGTCTCCTCTTTATGATGTGAAAAAACAATGCCACCATCCCTTTTATAGCCATAAATTGGTTGTAAGAATCATCCCCACATGGTAGCTGTATTATTGGGCTTAGCACATTATAAACCCACTATATATGATATAATATAATATAATATAATATAATAAAATATAATATAATATATTATAATATAATATAATATATATCCCAACAAATGGGTTGGTATCTCGGTACAGGATTTCCCACGAGCTGTCCGACATCCCAAGGCCCCCGGGGCCTCAAAAACAGAACGGCGCAACGGTGCAATGGTCAAAAGATGGGCCAGCCATGGATGGTGGACTCAGGCACCACTTGACCTCACTGCGACCGAGCCCTGGGAATCATGGTTAGTAAGGGGAATCATCCCCAAATGGCCTTGATTATTGTAATTTACCCAGATTTTTTTTTGGGATAGACCGGGATAAACCCCACTGAGTAGGGACTTACGAACTGTGATTATTTTAGTATAGTTTAACAACTCAGTGGGAGGATCCTCCAAGCAGTGATTCTATAGTCGAGGACTTAGTGACTGGTGTATCAGCGTATGAAATGTCAACCCCGAATTCAAAAACTCTTGGGCTGTTTAAAGGGGGAAAACCGTAGCAGATTATCACGAATTTGGGTGTAACCCCCCCAATTGATTATGCAAGGTTTTTCAATCCAAGGTTGACAGTATCTCGCTCGCATGTGTCGATCTCTGTTGAAGGCACTAAATGTTTGAAGCATCGACTGCAATCGTAGATGTTCATCGCATTTCCATGACCAATCTGCTGTGGGATGCAGTTTGCTTCTCGAATGTCAAGCTGAGGCTATGACTATCATGAATTATGATGATTCATGATGATTTAAAGCAAATTCACAGCCAACATGTCCCAAGTACTTCCAGTCGTAGACTAAAAAAGGCGATATCTCATGGTCTGAATTTTGTGGCCCCCAACTCCTGTGAAGCCAAGATGTTCCAATCTTGTGCCGACAGCAACTTGATGTAATTTGGGGTCCAAAATTGGAGCGTATACCGCAAATATCCCATTCATCAATAATTGCAATGAATGGGGGTATGCGCAATTTCGGGACAAACGCAATTAATTGGTGTTCAATAAACACAGTTGTCACACGTACTGTTGCTGTCACTGCCACCATGTGTTCCTGAAGCTATGGCTGAAAAAGAGGCCCGAGAACACACAAGACACAAGCCATTGCCAAAACAGCCACAGCTGTCATCCATGCTGGCTGTCCGTCGAAATTTAAGACCTGGAAAAGCGCAGATGCTGGGTTTTGCAATGCACCATTTTTTTGGGGGAAAGACTTGTTTTCTTCACTTCACAAGTTTTAGTTTCTTTCCCAGAATTTGTTGTTCCATGATGTTCCATGACTTTCTTCGACCCATCCGTCGCAGGCTGCCGACGCTTCTGACACTTTGGTTTTTGAGCAGGAGACCCGTTCGACTCAGACTTTGGAACCCCCAAATTTGAATGGCGCACTCAGAATGTCCAGTACATTGCCAGTACACGTTTTTGTTGTGAGCATTATAAAAGTTGTGCCCATAAGTGTATTGAACAAAACATAGCGAAACTACGTTCAAAACTGAGCTGTTCACTTTTACAGTTGAAAAGGACAGGCAATAAGGACCTCGCACAAGCAAACCCCTAGTGTGCTTAAGCATTCCCTTAGCCTTAGCGCCTTCAGAAAGACAAGACCTTTTGAACACTGCTCACATAAAATTATAAAACCCGCAAAAATTGTTGGTTTAGCACTGAAAAGAGCAACTGAGTATAACATAGTAGCTATAGTAGTACATAGATGTACATAGTATATAATTATATAACTAATTAACTTATTTATTTTTTGGGGGGTCCCCAAGGACTTGGCCCACACCTTCTTTGTTGGTCCAGCGGTAAGTCAATTCTGCAGTTTCAACCAGGACTTCTCTCAGTTGGAACAGAGCTTGGAGGAAGAAACATGGGAGGCCACTTGGGGCCCCAAACGGAAGAACAACTCCAAATGCAGGGGAAAAACAACATGGACATATCATATACCCAAAGACCCCAGATCCTGAATTTTTGCCACTAGACTATAAGAATCGGTGTACACGCCAATGTGTTTTGGGTAAAGTACCAATTGTTCTGGGTATTTTGAGGGTTCTACCTTGGAGGTCGTAAGCGCAGCTAATTTTTTGCCAAGGCTATGAGAGCAATAACCTGGCCCTACAAGGAGATTACTCTGCCGCAGAAAGCCATTGTATAGGTGGGATATTCCCATACATGGGCCTTACGTTAGTTAAATGGACCTTGAATGTGTCAGGTACTTGACATTTCCTTTATCAAACTAGGCTGACATTGTTTGACCCTAAAATGACCCACAATAAAAGGGGAACTATGCCAACGAATCTTGGAGCAAGGCACTGTTTTCCCCACCTGCCAGATTTTACTGTAACAAAGGTGCAACTCCTTCCTTTCTTCCTTCCTTCCTCCTTCCTTCACTCGCTGCCACCACGCCCATCTTCTTGCTGCACTGTGGAGTGAGCACCGGACACCATATCGCCAGCTCCGGATGCTGTGGGGCACGCCTGGACCCGAATGCTACACAGTATATATGTCAGATAGAATGGTAGAAGGAATGTCAGATAGAATGCGAGGGTGCAGATCGCTCGAAGTAAAGTATTTTTTTGGAATCCAGCTATCTTAAGGGTGAGCATCTTGACACAGCCTGATCCTCCGAGCTGTTTCGCTCCAAGCCTTGGACAGGTGGATGACGATGATGAAACGCTGGAGCTCTATACCCCGGAGGTCTGCGGAGCGAGTCCTGGATGAAGCCATGGATGTCCACTGGGGTCCTAAAGACTTCCAAAATTAATACCAGGATACCATTCCCTGGTGGTGGCTTCTCATTTTTATTGCTCCATATTGCTCCAAGCCTGGAAATGGGATGATGAAAAATGATGGTCCCATTTAGGCGAGCATGTTTTTGAAGGGGCTCAACCACCAACCAGATGATGTCATAATGATGTCCCTCTTCCATTCCAAATGAACCCGTCCTACAGAACCGTCCCAGTAAGAAATCATCTCAATCTTAAAGTTATACAGGGCTACGGGTTGGAACTGGTTCAAAAATGAATTGTTTACATTTGTTATACATTTGTTTATTACATATGCCCACACCTTGCGGTCCCTGGATCTCAAATTCTGATTGGTACCCAGTACTGTATCATTCCCGATTTTTGTTTCGTAGTATAGCTTTCTTTATTTCATACAGTAACGCTATCTATATATACATATGGGCCGTGGGTCCGTTCTCGCTGGTGTAGCAATTATTGTGGATTCAATGATCAAAAACCACATCAGGTTTTTTTTTGGTGCTGGTGAAATCCCTTTTTGCCATACTTAGCCATTCCTTCTTTTGCCGCTGGGCTGAACTCACTTATTGCCAAATAGATGTACAAGTGTATATAGAATTCCAGGCAGTGCCCGGCCCATGCCGGGGCAGAAGTTTCGAATAATTAAAGACACTATAGGAAGACGACGTCCTACCGGACAGTTGCGATGCAGAAGCAACGAAGTGTTGAATTTGTGAGGTGCATCAGCGAATGAGCAAAGGGTGGATGAGCCCTGGCCCAAGCTCCCGACCAGCGGGGCGGCCGTGCCGGCCGATTGCTTGGGGGTATGTGCACCATAGTTGCCTAGAAGCTGAATGTGTGTCCACACTTGTTGCCTGATTTATCTTGGTTGCTTGCTGGTTGCTTGTGAGTTTGGGGTCCAACCACTCCAGACCTCGGCGATGGGTCGGCAGATGTCTTGCTCTTATGGACAGCTTCCCACTGGTGGGCTGATGCGCCCATTGTTGAAGGTTGGTATTCTACCCTTGCCGTTATGGCTGTTGGTGACAGTCGGTCCTGCTCGCTTTAGTTGGGACTTTGCCCTTGAGGACACAGAGCTTGGCAATGTTTGCTGTGGATCTGGCCATGGTGTCTTTGCAGGAGGTTGTTCCAGAAGCTCCCATGTGCCCACCAAACCACCCAGCCACATTCGGCTGTGATTCATGGTTTTGCTGTTGATGCACGCTTTACATAAGGTAGGTCACGGAACAGGTGCTCGTGTTGCCAGAACGGTCAAGTTGGCTGAGATGATTCTATTCTCCGCGCTTCATGCGGCCTGTGTCAACGACTGCCTGGGTGTGCTTTCTACGACTTGGCCCTTGCAACAAGCTCTTCTTGCAATCAGAAACGTGGCTTTGAAATCGAGCCTCGCTATAGTCTCGTGCGCATTTTGCCGACCTCATCTTCCAAAAGTGCTCCTGACGCCATAGTTGTTTTGAAGTGCAAGTCGAGCTCTCGCCGCAGTCCTGCGCACTTTTTGTCACCAACTTTCCCAGATCGAGCCCCGAACCTGCAGAAACAGGGGCCCTACTTCGGCAACCCCAGAAAAGCCATATTACCTGACAAAAGACAGGATTTCGGATCACGCCCGAAAGTTTTCCCACCCGTGAATTCACACGCTTCCAAACTGTTACATTTCCCGACTTCTTGATGACGGGTGGTTGACATTTAAACTCGGAAGTTTTCTAACTAAACTTGAGTATGTATCTGTTTTTAGTACATATATATAGATATTTATTTATTTATTTATTTTATTTAGACACAACCTGTACATGAATATATATATATATATATATATATGTACATGTTTTTGTTTAATGCTAAGAGCTGACCCATCCAAAAAATGCCAGGCCAAAGATGCCGAACCGGGTGCAGCCTGGGAACCTGTTGTCTGGTGATGGTCTTTGGTGGTGTGTGGAGTTTACCAATAATGGTGGTGGTATAAATCAACCATAGTGCGGATAGAATGGGGATATTTCATGGGATATATGGAATATATAACCAATAATATATGACCATATTATATATAGTTATGTATACATATATATATATATATATATTTACATACTGTATTGATATACGAGTGTGTCCGAAAGGTGGTTTTATACCCCAAGTAATGGTTAGCTATTAATACAGAGAATGATGACGAAATATCCAACTTGAAAACAACACCATATGGCTGTGTCCTGTAAATAAAATGGTGGAAACTTGGCCGATAAACCTATATAAATAGCTAAATAACCTTTATAAAATAGTTAGCATAGCCAATGATGCGGAAAACTATTTTTTGAACATATTTAATAATGGGGTAATTACAGACATTTTTCTTGGCCAAAAGCGAGGAAAATTGCACTGTTTCTGACATGAACATGTTCAATCACCCCAGTTGGTTAACTAACTAGTGGTACTACCTTTTACATATTGGGATGATCAAAATCTGGGGTTTTCAATGTTTTTTTGAATAAGAAAGAACTATATATAGACTATTTAGACGGAATTTTCGCAATGATAATCAATGATGAGATGTTCGGAGATTGCCCCATTATTTGAGATGGTTTCCAATAGGTTTTAGATCCACGGCCCAATTCAAAGAATGGACAGGGTTGTCCCAAGGGACTTGCACCCATCCGATTTTCGAATCGAACCGTAGGTAGTTGTGCCCACCATTTGGTTTACATGTTTTTTGCGATATACTGACCTAACCAATGCTAACCTGTTCTTTTTGCGTATCTAAGATCATGTCTCCTGGAACACCGTGGGGCATCCCTTGATCCACCAACCTGCCTACGGTTTCGGGACCCCGTTTTGTATCGGATCATGGTTTTGCTCCAACAAAAAAAACACCTATAGGATTAAGCATTGGATTTTGAAATAGTTTTGTTTTGGACAAAACCATAAGCCATCATAAGCCATCAATGAATCAATACGAATTTGTATACCCACTATGTTTGGCGAATCCCATTCTGGGATGCATACCACCATCCCAACTTGGCCATGGCACACCAACTGGGTATAGCCTTAGGTCATGGTGACGAAGGGTGGCCTTGCTTCGGTGGCAGAGTTGGTGTCGCTGGTTGCCGATGAGTGGTCATTTTTCGTGGTTGCCGACCCCTTAAAAAGGCTGAAAAGACTACGACCCAAATCCTAAAACAGATACCCCATTGTTCATGGGAAAAATATGGAAAAATGATGAACGCCCATTGGATTTTTGGGTAGTGTGGTAAACCCAATGCCATAAACCATCCCCAAAATCACAAATTTTACAATTTGTATGGGTGGTATAGACCATCTCCAAATGGTGGACCGAAACTCGGTGCATCTGCACCGACTTGGCTTAGCCAAGTCGTTTGGATTGCCTCTGGGTCAAGCTTCAAAGATGCCTGGGGTATGTCTGAAAATTAGGATTTTGTTATCCCAAAGTTCCTTATAAATTGAACGAGCATGAGGTCCTACACCCCTTATTTTCAGGTACCAAACCATAAAATTGGCATGTGAACATCAGACTGCACCAAGGCACCAATTCGGCAGCGGTTGGAAGGTGCCAAAATCAATCTCCGCGGGTACTTGTTTGAAGACGTTGGGTAGTAGGGGGATGGGTCAACACCTATGATCTGGGTCTTGTGAGATACGAACTAGTACTTTGTTCTTTTGCTATCAATGGTAAAATGATGTAATTTATTCGTCTTAACCAGCTCAACCTGAGTTTTGGTTGGCAGGTATCTATATCATTTTCACCACGTATTGATGAAATTGGCGTTGGGGCAGATGAACATCTAAAATGTGATTGAGTCGTTGCTGAGTCGACAGGTGAGCCGCTTGTGCATGGAGTTGGTGTGTTAAGATCTCAGGGAGCGGGTCAACACATAGTTCCCCTGCAAGGCAAAACGACATCACGTTCTGGCTGCTGAATTTTTGGGTGTTTCGTCCCGTTGAGCAACGGAGATTTTTCGGGAAGCTGCCAAGGTGAATCAATTGACCTGGACTCCAATGGGACCTTTACTGCCACTTGGTGTGAACAAAATGAGTGAAGCCCAGTGAAGCATCTCGAAATCCGGGATGGCTTTGAAATTATTTGATATTTTTGAATATATTTGAATCTTAAGATTGTGGCAGCCTCCGTGATACTCCAAGCGTCTGCTGAGATTCCCAGGTGGGTTTGGCCTTTGATGATGATCTAGAAGAGGCGGTCCTTTTGGCACCTTGGGCCACAAGATATTGGCGCCAGTGGGTCATGTCTGACCACCCAAAAATGAGGAATTTTCTGTTCAGATCGACTTAAAAAATGGGAGACCCCCCTTATTTTACCTACTAAAATGTACTAAAAACGGCCTGTTCGTGCTTGGACCTGCGGAATCGATCTACTTGGCGCCTCAGGGTGACCGATTTCTCGGTGGATTGACTGGCAATCTGTTTGTAAACTAACATAGATATGCTTGGGGCCCAGTTATGGAGGATTTTCCCATTACCTCCATTTGCTTCCGGACTTATCTCATTTACTGAAGGGCAATCGTTCCGCCAAAAGTTGGAAAGGTCGAACTACCGGCCCCAACAATCCACGCTGGCCCAGGAGCTATCATACAGTAACTTCTCTCCATGCAGACTTTTCTCAGGAATCCGGAGTAGCAAAACAAGGAATTGCTGGAGTGTATTGTATTGGATTATATTGGACAATCTAATTGTCATTGGCGATGGGTAGGCGGTACGTCGGTGATTTCAAAAAGGTGTTTCTCCATCAGAAGTGGACGAGCCCAATAAATTATAACTACATTTTCGGGGTTGAAACCACCAATCACTAATTTTCTTTTTTTTCTGGTGAATTTTACTTCATATTCAATGGCTGAATCATGTTGAGCTGTGTCAAATTTGTACCCAACATTTGATGGGCAAATGTTTTTTTTTTTCATGTTTTTGTTCCCCATGTCTGCCGATTAAATTACATGAATTACATTATTATACTGAGTTATACATAGTCAAACCCCTATTTTTGATTGGCCTAGCGGCAAGGCCGCGCTCGACATCGAAAATCTGAGGCCTGCACCATCCGTCGGCCGCGTCCAGAGACCAAGCTGCCCAGAGAACCAGGCTAATGGACCTGAGGGAGGAACCCAGCGACCCTGAAAACCCACAAAAAAAATATGATATTAATATATGATATTAATATATGATATTAATATATTATATATACGGTAACAACATTCAAATATGTCGAGGGCGGGCCAGACCGCGAGGCCCCGGAGGTAGTATGAAATACCAGTTCGTATGTTTAAATGTAGTTACCGTATGTTTAAATGAATTGTATTCCGTATGTTTAAATGGCTGGGCGGGCCAAGGAAAACCTTCCCGGAAGTAGTCTAAAATACCAGTTCGTATATTTTAAAGTCCGTATATTTAAATGCAGTTACCGTAAATATTATATATAAATATTATATATAAATATTATATACATTTACAACTAATAACCATCATTATATATAAATATTATATAATTATATATACATATATATATATATGATATATATACATGCTGTAGTTAGCTAGATCTAGATGATATGGACAGATAGATGATATGGAGATATAGAAAAATCCGCAATTGAAATATGATTCTAGACTCTAGAGCTTTTCTGTGGGATGTAAAAAAATCTTGACTGCTAGGTGCTGTGAAACAACTGGCATCCCCCCAGTCATGCTCTGGCTGCTTGGTGTGGTGTGACTTGTGGATAACCCAACGGAGAAGTAGAAACACTCCCAAAAAGCTACCCTCTGGTAAACTAACATAACCATGGAAAATCACCATTTTTAATGTGTAAATCCACTATAAGTCATAAGTCACCATTCTCAATAGCTATGTTTGTTTAGTAGAGGGTAGCCAAGATATGCCATGTCAGGGAATAATGTTTGATTTTCCTGCGTGATGGGGGAATCAGCAAGGTAGCATCAGTGGGGTGCCAGGCACTGCGAAGATCTGGATGTGAATGGTTGGATTTTCTTTAGCTCAATGTTTATATATGTTTATTCTTAGATCAGATTAGATCAATCATATTAGATCCTTCGAAGTACTCTCCGGTAATTTAACATAGCTATTGAAAAGGCCCATTTATAGTTGATTTACCTATTAACGATGGTGATTTGCCACAGCTATGTTAGTTTACCAGAGAGTGCCCACAAGAATTGCTCGAGGTGATCCGCCAGAGGAAGCCGAGCCGCCGGAGAGCCCAGAGAAGGCCATCATTTTCTACACTCAAAGAATCCATTGAACTATCCTGAGATCCCATTAAAAACACCATTAAACGTACATCACAATTAAAAAACCACACAACTGTCATTTGTGGCATGACCCATCCAGAAAATTCCAGTTTCGAATTGAAATACAAAAAGGCCGCCGTTCCAACCGGAAAGATGCTGATTCCCTTGGAAGTTAGTCCTTCTGCTGAGAAACGCCTCCCCAAATCCATCGGCTTAAGGAAAGCGCACCCTATGAATGTGGGGATTTCCATAAATGGGGGATCCCCAATAGCTGGTTGGTTATTGTTTTTCAAATCCTTTTCAACTGGATGATTTAGGGGTACCCCCATTTCAGGAAACCTCCATGTCTATGAATATCCATAAATTGTGCCTGGTGGTTACCTCAGTTAGTCAATGGCTTCTAACATGTTGTAAGCTGCGCCCAAGGCCTAAGCCCATCGCGTTGCACGTCAATGGTCAGGTGAGCGCTGCGATCGACCCCGGCTGGTTGATAACTTGTTCGGGGATTATAGCTATTATATATTAGATACACTAAGGTTCAAAAAAAAATGTTACCCTTATACTAATCAATATAATGGAAAATATCACAATCATTCAATCTAATGATATCTCATACTCTAATAATGATCAAATAATTTGATTGGGAAGATGGCAATCATTTACAATCAAGGGGGAATCCCGTTCTCAACCACGAAAATAGGGGACGTCGTAACGCAGGTTTCGAAGCTCAGGTGGCTGAGGAAGATCTGGGCGAACTCCCCAAAAGGATCGAGCTTGACGTGCAGCTCAATTGGGAGGAGAGATGAGCGTTGGTGATGCTGTGGAAGCATCAAAGTAGGGGGATCCAACATCTGAGGAGGCTAACCATCAAAAATATATGAATATGAGGATTTAGCTATCAAACATGGAGGTTTTACCATGTTTTACCATCAATTTTCACATGTGTTCAGCATCCAACATTGGATTTTACAGCTATCTAATATTTAGCTTTTAACCACAGCCCACAGATTTGATGAGTGAACCCAAAGAACAAAGGGGATGTCATCCATCCAGTTTGTTCCAATCTGATACAATCCCATGATGAAGGGGACTTCATCTCATATAGTGAACCCATGATCCATTTTGTTTAATGGATCATCCAACCTCTGTATAATTCAGATACAAAGTGGCAAAAGGGGGAAGTGCACTGTTCTAATTCACCCAACCCATTTTTGTTTGGTCGGTTTTGAGGCTGGTAAACTGATTTTTGTAGTGAGCCCTAGCACATTTGCAAGAACATCGAAGCAATTGACAGTTGGGTTTTGTGGGCTGAAAACTTTGGCGGCCCAGTATGGTATGGGCACAACTATGACAGTGTCATGTTTGGATACAAAAAACGGAGGTTTCCTAAAATATGAGCACTTATGAGCACCCCAAACCATGAGTTTTCCATTGACAATAGATAATTCTAAGGATGATTTTGGGGTACCCCCACAGGAAACTTCCATATCTCTCCAGCCAAGACTTTTCCCAAACAAAACCCAGCTTGTTGCGGAGAGGAGAAGACCACTTTGGTGAAGCACAAAGTTCGGGAGTCATATCCTCAGGATTTCGCAACTTTGTTCGGCGTCGGAGAGGTAAGTTGATGGGTCAGGGGCGATGTATAGTGGATGGTCATAGATGGTCAATTAATATGTCAATATATCATAATCGAAGGAAGTTTAGAAGTCAAACTTCCGACAATATGGACAGATGAAAAGCAGAGATGGGACGAGTCAGAGAAGTGAAGAGAAGAAGAAAGAATATCAAAAAAGAGAAAGTCTCAGAAGAAAGAAGATCCAGGTGCGCGAAAAGGTAGGAAAGCCGCGAAACACTGTGTTTTTCCAATGATTTGTGGCTCCGGAGGGTCGAAAAGTAGGCTCGCTAAAGCGGCGGGTGCGGAGCCAGCTGGCCAGATGAGAGATGAAAAATTGCACGCCGTTGTGGCGCGAAGCACATTTCGAAGTCAAAAGTGTAGAAAACTGACGGGTTCGGAGCACTTTTGGAAGTTGAGATGTCGAAAAAGCGCAGGCCATTGTGGCGCGAAGCACATTTCGAAGTCAAAAGTGCAAAAAACTGAGGGGTTCGGAGCACTTTTGGAAGTTGAGATGTCGAAAAAGTGGAGGCCGTTGAGGCGCGAAGCACATTTCGAAGTCAAAAGTGGAAAAAACTGAGGGGTTTGGAGCACTTTTGGACGTTCAGATGTCGTTTTGCGTTTCCTGAGAGGGGTTGCATTTTGGAGCATCAGATCTTCAAGTTTGCTGAGATGATTTTGCGTGACAGGTGCAGCACTTCGCACGTGGCAGGCGCAGTACTTTAGACAGGTGGAGTGGAAAAATCGCAAAACGCATTGGTACGAGGCCGTCAGCGCTGCACTCAACTTCGCAGAATTGTTCCGTTTTTGATGTTGTCAAGTTCAAAAATTGAAGAAGTCTCGCAGAATTGTTTCGTTTTTGACGTTGTCAAGTTCAAGAATTGAGGAAGTCTCGGGTTTTCAAGCTTGCAGGTAGACAGACAGACAGACAGACAGACAGACCAGACAGACAGACAGGCAGACAAACAGATAGATAGATAGGTAGATAGATAGATAAATAGACAAACAATGACAACTACCACTACACTACACTACACTACACTACACTACACTACACTACACTACACTACACTACACTACACTACACTACACTACACTACACTACACTACACTACACTACACTACACTACACTACACTACACTACACTACACTACACTACACTACTGCTACAGCTACAAATGCAAATATACTACGCTACATTATACTACACTAATTACACTACACTACACTAATTACATCTAACTACACTATACTACATGAATTGCACTAACAACAACAACAACAACAACAACAACAACTACTACTACTACTACCACAACTACACCTGCAATTACAATTGCACTACACTACTCTAACTACACTGCAGCAAACTACAACTACAACTACAACTCCAACTCCAACTGCAACTGCAACTGCAGCCACACTAAGTTATACAACACAACACTACACTGATTACATTGCATTACACTACAGCTACAGTTGCAGCTGCAACTGCAAGTACAACTACAACTACCACTACATTACATTGCACTACACTACACTGCACCTACTACACTACACTACACTACACTGCACTGCACTACACTACACTACACTACACGGCACGACACGACACGACACGGCACGACCCTACACTACACTAATTACACTGCACTACACTACAACTACAACTACACTACCTTACACTAGACTACACTACACTATACCACACTACACTACACAACACTACACGACATCGCACTGCACTACACTACACTAATTACATCACACCACGACTACAACTGCAACTGCACTTGATTAATTACACTACATTACAGCTACAGCTCCACTACACCACACTACAACTACAGCTACAACTGCAACTACAGCTGCACTACACCACACTACATCCAGCAGTTGTGGTAAGGTGACCACTGCAACCATTGCAACCATTCCAAAAAACACAGCTCCAACCACCTGTCGGTCCATCAGTGGATTCGCTCTGCCATCTGTGATTGACAAGAACCAACCTCTCCTACTATAGCTTTCCTATTTTTGAAACTTACGCCACCGCCTTGTGCGGCACTACTTGTATATCCACAAGGGGCTGGGTTTGTCATCTTACAACTGGGCAGGGCCATACCTTGATAGTTGTTGGTGCTAGCAAGAAGGGACATCTTACAGTGATTTCAGCTGACCTACTCATCCTCTTGCAGACGTCAAGCAAGTCAACGCTCGATGAATTAAAGCCTTGGACTGTTCAATTGGAGGTAACAACATGTATTTTTGGACCTTTTTACATGGTATGTTTAATGTATTTCAGCACACAAAAACGTCATTTTTTCCGCATCAATTGAGGTCAATACGTAGGTCATCTTGGTTCGAAGCGTCTCAGGGGTCCTGACAGGTCACCTACTTCGGCGGAGGTGCCTTGTGCCTGCCTTTGGGATGAGGTTCTGTGTGTAATACAATATGTTTACAGTCCTACATATTTAATAATATACATAAAAAAAAAAAACATTATAAAATTACTTTATGCGTAATATATTTTAGAATAAAATAGATTATATGATAATACATGGTACAACTACTGTATTTTATGTGTAATGTGAAATAATATAGACTATAGATATAGAGGTAAATAGGTTAAATAGGTAGATAAAATTATTATAGATCATGATAGATCATAAAAGGTAGTATTGTCGCAGGAAATGATTTGGCCAAAATTGGATGGTCACCAGTTCGCTTATATCTAGGTTAAGGAGGGTTAATGATTATAGATGGGATCCTAAAGCTGGTTATAACATGAGGGTCTCTGCCTGACTGTATCATTTTGTGGTGGTTTGTCTTGTGTTGGAACCCAAAGAAAGAGACCCTGGACCGTGAACGCGACCAAATTTGCCGGTATGATTGAAGTTGCCATAAGGTGCCTTTTTCTTAGCCATTCACAGCCATAGATTTGTCCATGGGGGATTTTCCAGGCCCCAATTGAAGACCAAGCACAGGTGGCAACAAATGTGCCATGGTCATGGTCTATCTTCCATGGTCATCCAAAAAATACATGGATTTTGGTGGTCCGGTGTATCCATTAACCATGAATATATGGGTTAATATACCATTCATGGTTTTCATTAAGACCAAGTATCCATAAAAATCCAATGCTGCAGGGGCTCGGCTCAGGAGTCCGCTACGTCCACGGGATTCTACACCACGGACGTCGCCTTTGATGTAGCCAAGGCCATAGGGCTGGTTGAGACTACGGTGAATGGAGGACCCAAAGATGGCCTATTATTTGTTGATTTGAGTGACACTAAACCACCCGATTTCTAGGTGATCCCCCCAAATTTGTAGGTTTTTACAGGTCATATTTGCGGACAAATGATATGCATGTGCTTTTGAAACTGCCATTTTTCAGCCAAAAAGATACAGAGCACCCATGAACATATACGGTAGATTCTCGAGCAATCCATTTATCAACCTATGCTAATCCTTGGTTTCCCATGTCCCAACGATAATCCCAAGTATAATCCCAGTATATCAATATATCATATCCATTCATATCCCTTAAAAATACCTGGTTTTCCAATGATTTCTGTATCAAAAAGGGGTGGCTCTCGACCCATCCCCTGCTGCGCTCTTTAGGCCGTTTTCCTACGTGCCACTGGCAGTGTCCGAGTCCGGCTACTGTCGGGAGCGAAGTGAGCGAAGTGGGACGAGGGAACTGGGGACTGGAGCTGTAGCTGCGGTAAGTATAGCTTGTCATGAATAGGATTGAGGATGTCTGGCTGGAGACGTTTGTAGTGTATTTTTTCTGATATTAACTAATCAAAAATCATTAAATATCACTGGATTGTATGTATATACTGCGATAGATTTTTGCCATTGTTTACCTATAGTTGCCGTGCATGGAAACTGATCATTAGTTATACCCTAGTCATAAATAGTTGAGGGTGCTCTTTGATGACTGACTGGTGACAAATGACATACTCATGATGTGAATAGCGAAGCAATGAGATTCATTTACTGCAATAGTCTTAACATGTCGTAAGTTTGGTACTGGTAAATAGTTATCGTAGTTTCATCATCCGGGGAAATAAGTAGTTCACTATATAAAGTTGTTTTGTTAATATCAATGATATCGCTAGAACATGCTATAATTAATGCTTAGTCTTTGGTCCCGAAACGATGAATGTAAACTCATGGAGTCGTAGATGTTTAACATGCCAATACAGTAGTGTGGAAGTTATATTGTATCGAGTGAAATCATCACAGTTAGCAAAAATATACACTTTGAATATCTTTGAATCACTTTGCCGTACCTCGCATCCCAGTATAAGTTGTCAAGGTTTTGCATGGGACCAACAAACCACCGATGTGACCGATTGCAACCACTTTGATTATTCCATGAATACCTGCAAACATGGTTAACTATATATCATTATATATCAATATATGTTTGATTGTTGGTGTCTGGCTCAAAGAATATCATACAATATCATACAACATCTTTCTAATTTGCTTCAAACGTGACTGTGGGTGTCTTAAAATGGGGAATCCCCAGTCGTCACCATGGTTGTCAATACTAATTCATAGTCATCCATGACGACTGGACGATGCAAGGGAGTACCCCCATGACTTAAGGGAAACCTCCATATGCTTGAACTGTGAAGCGCCAATTTAGTCCTGCTAACTTTAAGGTCGCTGAAATGCAGTTGCGACACCTAGACGGCTTGGTGCAAAAAGTTGTGAATCGATGTGGAGCCCTAGCTGGGAACATCTTCTATAAAATGGGAGGATTTATCCAGCCCCCTACAGCACGTAGCAAAAAAAAACATGAATTGAATCTACTCTTATCCATTTTCATGGGTGCTTGAAGGGTCTAAGTCGTACCTATTTTCGAAGGGTAAGTCTTGGAGGTCGCTATATGCATGGACGCAGGGGGTCATGCCATCGCTTGGACAATGCTCAAGTGGCGAAGAGAGCTGCAGGTAGAACTTCTATCGGAAAGAAAGCACACCAGTCAAGACCAGTTCGAGGTACGATATCTAGGGAAACCACGCGTCGCAAGAGCTATAATCGTGTGATTCCCAAACACATTTGGAAGCGTGCCACACGTGAGTCACCACTTAAAGGCCAGCAATCTGCGACCGGCCCGCCGATGAATGAAGGGAAATCCGAAGGCTGGCTAAAGCTTGGTGAATGGTAATAGCATCATCAACGTATCAAAGATAGTGTGGTTAAAACAAATGCCACAAGCCATAAACCCACCCATGACTGGGAATGGTAAACAGTAAACATACCACCTATAAAAATGGTGATGACTCGGGGATGATTTATGTTTGTTTTACCCACGTAACACCTTTTGGCTGCAGAGTTCCTGAAATCAGCTGGTTATTGTCAGGGTATATTCCAGTATATCCCAATTGGGATCCTTTCGGTCAAGATTCTGAATTATCAAAGCGACGATCCCATTTTCGGGATACCTAAGTTGAAGACATGGAACCGCCCGAAGAACCTTGGTGGACACAAGCCTCCCCCGCACATCTACTGACTCCTGGAAGAATAAGATTCGGATTTTAGTTAAGCCTGGCTTCCAGGAAATGGTATGGGTATTCCCACCCAAGTACTATGGCTAGGGATCATCGAACTCTATCGAAGTCTGAGCTGATTCAATCAACAACTTGGGTTCAGGTGCGGATCAGCAATGCCCAGTATGCTGGAGCCTTCTCTGCGAGCCTGTGGTGGGTGACTCAATGTTATGCAGCTTTTGTAGCTGGTGTCCCAAAGCTGTTGATGACTGGGACTGAATCGATGGTGACTGGTACTGGGCAGATGATGAATAATTAGTTCAAAGAACTTCAACTTAGGTAATTATTTGGCATTTGTTCGAAGGCTCCGTAAATGTCCATTGCTGGGAAATATGATCACCTGGTATCACCTGACTCGCTGGTTGATTCAGTTGATTCGTTCTCCAGTCTCCAAGGCTTGGCCCGAGTGTGCGCATCACTTGTGTTTGGCATCTGGCTCAGGGATGCCCAGGGAGCTATAGCAAGCGATAGCACGTGTGTCCCAAGATGAAGGCGGCAAAGGTACTGGAATAAAATCTGGCTACCTCTGAAGAAATCTCTAAAAGGCTTTGGACTTGAGGGCTCAGCTTTCAAGTAAGAACTTTGATACGTTCTATGCTGACGACGCTTTTGGTTAATACCCTTTTGTATGTCCAAATTGCCGCAAGTCTGGGATGCAGCAGGTCTTGACCAAACATGGTTAATTATGACATTGTATAACATTCTTATAAAGATACTTGCTGTATACCAGAAATATCCAGATTATTACCAGACCATACTCGGTATATCAGAAATGATCAATTTCAATGGGAACAACACTACCCCCAGTTCTGATTGGTCCCCCTTATGTGTCTCAGGTCTGTGCCCTGCGGATGCGTCGGCGTCCAAAGCCCATGTGCCCCCTTTGCAGAGCGCGGAACTCTGGGGGATGCAGCTGGGGGTCTTGATGGCTATAACCATGGTAGAACCATGGGATTTGAAGCCCCAGAAGTTGGATTTTTGACATGATTACATGATATATAACTATATAACCTTTAAAACTATGGATATCCATGGATATATCAGGACTGAACAAACTGCACCATGCACCTCCAAGTCTGGAAGGAGTAAAGACCTATGATTTAAGTTGGGGAAATGATGATTCAAGTTTTCCAACGTCGAACAATTCAATGTGATTTTATTGGGAAAATTACATATATTACGTTATCAGGTTTTGAATTGTACTATTCCTAGCTATTCCTGTATCTATCAGCCTTTATTCTCACTATTCGTTGGATTTTCCCGATTCGTGGGGAAAGCCGCATAAGTCTTGGCCTTCAGATATGGGGTAATTACCAATGACATTGGACAGAACAACCACCTCACCACGGATGATAGCGATACTCCCGACTTTGGAGCCTTTAAAGAGTGAAAAAAAAACACATAGTTTCACATATTGTCACCATGAGCTATTCAACAGTGGTGTTTCATGACGTGTCCGTTTCGTTTGCTGATTCAGCAATGGTGGGAATTCCCCATGGAATCAGACAGGCACCATCCATTTTGATATATTTGGACGAGAGATCAATCCATTTGGTGACCATGGTGACCGGTCATGACCGGTCCCCAACACAAGGCTTTGAAGGCTCATCCAGTTGGATCCCGGTGTGCCTTCACCAACAAAAACTGACTTTGCTGGGTCGAACATTCACCCGCTGGTACCCATAGAATTACGGCGTAAACATTCCAACTTATCAACTTAGCGTCAAGTTTCAATCTAGAAATATGTCGTTCTGATAGGTTCGCAAACACTGTCCTGGTCATCCTAGTCGAAAGCTGCCATTCTGTAGTTAACGTTTCCAGGAAAAAAAACCAGTGACTGTCCAAACTTGGCAACTACTAGTCTGTAGTAAAGCGATGTAAGGCATGCTAATCAGGTCTTGATTCATGGCTGAATCTTCCAGGCACCAGCCAATCAAGTTCGACAAGCAGCCGAACTTCAGGTGCGCCAGGGCAGGGTGTGAGAGCTATTGGGGTTGTACTTTCTACACATTATATACTGGTATATTTGTAATATTATATAATAATATCAATAATATCTATAATATTAGTATTACTATTATTATTATTATTGGTTCATTACCGTTTATTTATATGTAATGTCAAGTGAGGATTAATAATCCCCTCCCGATTAATCAACCACCACTGCCCCCCCCAAAAAAATGTAATTTAAAAACAGGTGGTCCCCCCTGATTAATAAACCCACCCGATTAAAAAACCACCAGTGCTGAAATCCTTTTTTTATCCAATTTTTTTTATTTCCAATTCTATTTATTTCCAATTGTTTTTTACCTTTTTTTTAATCATCATTGTTATACTTCAGGTTTAAGTTGATCATTGAAAATTTCAAAAAACAACTATTCCCCAAATGATCGATTTTTAATTAAAATCTTTATAAAAATCATCAGTTTGGATAGCTCCCAAAGGGTACCCCCCATGAGCCCATGTCCCCCATTAATAATAACCAGGGTTTGCCCCTGATTAATCAACCACCTTTCTGATCCATGAAATTTTAACAAACCCAATGGAATTCTATTCAGATCTAATTGACGTAAGCCATATCCAAAGTTTTATGGTTTAGAGTTGCTTATTATTAAGGGGTCGTCAAGAAAACTGGGGGGGAGGTTTATTAATCCGGTGTTGGCATTATATATATATATATTATATATTATATATATATTATATATATATATATCTATCTATCTATCTATCTATTGGTATTATGTATATAACATATTATATGGAGTTATACATATTAGTACAATATTTCCTCATCCTTGGCGTTGCACGTGCAACGGTGCCAACGGACCCAAGGATCTCGATCCTCAATGTTATATACTGGGATTTTATGGGCGGCTGAATGGGGTTCAATTGGATATGTGCAGGGTATAATTACAGCCAGCAATTTACGAAATTTGAGTGTGTCCCAAAATGATGGTATACCCATTTTCAGTGACCATGTAAAAGGGAAAATACGGGAAACACGATGATTAACCACCGCATTTGTTGTTTCATCTTTTTGCCCTAGCTTTCAGACAACCATCCAACGGGGAAGAACGATGCAACATCTTGGGGTAAGTAGCATTGACGGCCTTAGGTAGATCATTTTCTGGAACTCACTGATCAGAAAGATTGAACATTATTGCCTCAAGACGAAATTGTGTATACTTATGTCCAGTAATTTACACAATATGTACTGTAAAATAATATATATATATTACATATATATTTTATATAATATAAATATATATATATATATACGTAATCACATAGAGAATGCAAGCATATATCCGTCTTACAACATGGTGACTGAGTCCGTTTCTTTCATGACCAGCCCGAGCTGTCCACACCACAGGTGAGTAGCGCCCGAGCTGTCACAGTGCGCAAGGTCCTGGAACTGAGTTTCTTCAATGCTCAAGACCCCAGCTGCTTGATGGTTTCCATAAATGGGGGTACCCCTTAAAATGGTTGGTTTATTTCATGGAAATTCCCATCTATAAATATCTATAAATGTATGATAACTGGGAGGTTTCCCCTAATTTTTTTTGTAGGAAACCTCCATGGAAATCAGTTTCAACCATCAAACTCTGGGGATATGTACTGGGGATTGTCAGAATCCGCGGACTGGGAAGCGAGGTTGTGAAAACCACTACTCAAGTCTCCAAAGTCATGAAAAACGAGTTCAACATGTTAATCTTTCCAATATGTGCCTATAGTTTATATATCCCAAAGGTATTCAAACGAGAACGCTTTTCTTGTTTTGAAACAGTGAAGGTATGCTTTGAGGCAATGGGCAGGAAATATTTCAGGGGACGGATCCTCCAACACCTGAAACGTATGGATGGATTGACGTGGCAACGGAAAATCTACGATTTATAGATGATGTTCCCCTTAAAGTTAAAGTCTCCATTTATAGGGGATTTGATTACTGGAGGGTATCTTAAAATGATCTAAACATTCTAAACTGACCGGCCCATCTAAGGTCCCCTGCCTTCTCAATAATCACATGGAAAAAACTAAGGATGTGCATTGAGAGACACTACAAGAAGGGTCTCCCAAAGTTATGTTTGTGGGTTCATAACCTTATCCATTTATAGATATATTCATCAAAAATCCAATCATTTGTCTTTACCTATCATTCTTGGGCCCATTTGGGCCCTGTACCAGTTCCGTTGTGTTCGAGTCCAGCTTCTTTGTAACCCAGCAGGGTATGGTTGGTCCCTCTACCATTTCGCTCGGTTTTGGCCTTACTCGGGTTTGAACCTGCCTAGACCTGGTATTTGTCTGTTGCCTGAATGGGTAGAAATGGTCTTTGACTGAAAACATGGACCCCCCTACATAAGAGCGGCAATTCAGTAGGTTGCCCCTTTAGATTTTCAGCAGGATGACTGTATCCTCAACTTCGTTGATGATTCTCAGCTTTGGACTCTATAAGCGTCCTCGTGTTTGATGTGTAAAATAGTGTAAAATGAACGTTCAATCTCCGTTCAACTCAATATTCTTTTTTTGGCTGACATCCCCTTTACTACGTCTTGTGAAATATGTTAAATCACCATGTTTCACCAACAAGAATCACCATATTTGATCTTAAAAACCGCATATTTTTACGACTTGGACTCCCAGGCCCGGACGCACGTCGCCAGGCGGTGGGTTATTCCTCCTACCAAGCGCAGCGCAGAGACACCTGGGCTCAGGTGGCTGAATTGGACGCAGCCGGAGGTGCCGATGGACGGCTGATGTGCAACCGATTTTTCGGAGGGACATCGTCGACATCGTCTAAAACATATGCCATCCATAGACCTTGCATATATGGGAGGTAGCTCCGGTTTAGGTATATATATATATATACCTGAAATGTCCCCTGACTATATCTTGAGGGTATACTGGAAAAGATTAAAAAGTAAAGATTTGAATCCAAACACCCAGAGATGAGATTTAGCCAAAGAAAATTAGGACTGACCCAGGAAAAAGATGGTGGTTGACAGTTGATAGGTTTCTGTTCAGAACTACAATTTAACTGGTTGATTCATGGTGCATATACCCAAAAATGGGGTAACATTAATAAACCAGCCGAACCAATAAACCCAATGAACTGAGCGGGGACCCTTCCTGCTGGGACGATTAATCTGTTGTCCAAAGTAAGGATACTGTCTCTGGTAATTGAATTCAACTATGGAAAATCACCATGTTTGATAGGTGAGACATGGAACCAAATGGACCATTTTCCGTAGCACACCGTAGAATTGCCAAACATATTCCAAGTGAGTGCTCAAGTGGAATTGGCATGAAGATCTAAACGCATCTATAGTGACTACATATTTTTCGCACTGAGATCCCGCATGTTTGGACAAACCAAGTAAAAAGAAATCAGACTCAAACTTCCTAGTCTTGTGGATTTAACATATTTTAACATCCAAGTTTTTGATGCTTAAACTTCCCATATTTGGACACCAGTGAAACGTGCCAGCATTTCTTTCAGGCCTTGGAGGTCCTTTAGCCTTGGTTGCTGGACGAAGCGAGGCGGGTCATGGTACCCCTATCCACAGTTGTAGCCCTTAACAGTTGTTAAAACTGGCTGAACGAACATCATCTGAGTGATATGTACTTTAGTTACAGGAGTTTTACAGTAACCCCATTTATAAGTGTAAAGAGCCATAACCGCAAAGAAACAGAGACCATGCTAAGAAGAGGCAGCAGATGTAGAAGAGTAGGATGAACTTTGGCCGATCGCTGATGTGATTTCGCGTTTGCATATTCACATACTATGCTGTGGATAGAACATCAAAGAGGTAGAGTTCACTACCACTTTGCAATGACAAACCCACATTACAAATCCACCAACCCTGGCCCTGTATTTCAAATTCACTACAAGCCATCCAAGGTCTGTGCAACAGAAGCACGGAGAAATACGTCTGAAAATGTCTGAAATATTGGATGAACTCAATGAATAAACAATGAACACATGAACAGAAACAAAGCCCTCCCTCAGTTTGAGGTTGAACATGGACCGTCCGAGGGGGTATGGTGTAATAATATGTAATATGGTGTGCTATGGGTCATGTCATGCATATCCTATCCAATGCTATCCCATCGCATGCTCTCCTTTCCTGGATTCCTCTTTCCTGCCCTTTCCTATCTTATCCTATATCATCATTATCATCATCATCACCAGAATCATACTACCAATAATCACAATAGTAATACTCATCATAATCACAATCACCATCACATTCATGTACTATGTCCCTCGGGCTTAGTCAAGTGGTTTGTGCGTGGATGATGTCCCGTTATGTACTTGGTACCAGTTGTACGGGGAGTTCTATCCAATTTCAAAACCGCAGGATATAATCAAGGTAGTGTTGCTTCAAACCTCCCAATCATACGCATACGTAAATTACTTAAAAGTACCATATTTTCTGCGATGCTCCAGAAGCTACATAGTGATCACTCTTCTCAAAACTGAAGATCAATGGATATACAAAGATCAATCCATTCTCTGATTTTGGTTGGCGAAACCCAGACCATGGATTTTGCTTCGTCAAATCTGCATTCTTCAAGATGCTTTCTTTTGTAGATGTCTTCACCAATTTTGTTGAATACTGCTTGCACAAGTAATTAATCAGTGCTCTTAGCAGATAATCAGACTTTCGACGTTTTTCTGCCCGCTGCCATACGTGGATTCCCTCTTCACCATTTTTTATCGTGAACTCCTCATTTTGGGTTGGTCCAAAAGTGTGCGAATTCGTCATCAAGCCCCCTCGACAGGTCTGGCACCGTTTGCGACTTGGAACACAGCAGGAGGTGCCACGTGCGGCTGCTGTTTGGTGAACCTGGGGCGGTTTCTTGATTTTGTCATTTCAAAACCTTGAATTAAAATGCATTAAAAACAGGTGAACAATTAGATTTTGGTCATTGTTTTTTTCCGCATTCTGAAAAAGGGGGATTGAACCCACATATACGGGGATTTATCATGATCTAACCCACAAACACAAGCTTTTTACTGATCTCTCTACTTGGATTTGTTGAAGATGTTTTTCTCTGTCCCATTAATCCACCAGCGATAGGTAATCCAATGCAAACATGCCGTTTGTCAATCGATTTGAATGGCCTAATGGCCCGTCAAGAATTTTTAGCAAATCCAAGTACTGGATGTAGAATATCACATAGTGTAACCCACAGAAATTTAGCAAGCGGTAGCATACAGAAAACCCCACACAAATTGTTGCTTTGTTCCCACAGACATTGGCAGCACATGGTACTGTACCAGGTACTGATGGAACCCAAGTATGAAGAGCTGTCCGAGCCACATGAATTCTGCGGCCATTGGTGGTTTTGCTGTGATGGAAGTGACCATCATGTTAAGTGGCGGTTGTGACACCCAAACGTCCTTGCCGGGTTCAAAACCTAAGCTGTTTTTTTTTGTGATTCCTATAATATCCTATAATATCATAATATCGGTTGGAAGGTCCGAACCATGTTGTAGTTTCGGGAATCCATGTGTCAAACATATGACTTTAAATTCCTGCATAAATGTTGTATTTATATGTGTATATATATACGTATACATTATTATATACAATATTAGAATTATAATATGATATGATATATGATATGATATATGAGTTGATTCAATACAATACATAATAATTGACATAATATAATATGATATGATATAATATATAATATGATATATTTATATATGAATACATACACACACATTGTGTTCGATTTATTGCATTATTTTTCCAAGGCTGAGATGGTCACGTCGAAGCAAGGGAGGATGCTGCGATCTCAGGATTGGTGTTTTGTTTCATTGGATTTATAACTGATTTATGATCGCTGAGTTGGTTTGCAACTTGGTTCACTATGGTTTACAGATGTTTTTAGTAGATCTACAGCTATAGTTGATGGGAAAGCCAACTTATAGGGGGTCCACCTCTTTGGATCATCGCACAGCGTGGTATCTCACGCCATGTGGTGCTGAGGCTTTGCAGTAGTCCTACAGCTGGCACCTCAGTGTTGGGCAGTAGACGTATAGCTAGACCTTCCAAGTACCATGACGCTGGTGAGAGTCCCCCATGATCCAAACTCTACATTTCTTAGGTTTGTTTTGCAGCCACCACCCAAAAGAACGTTTAGAAAAACAACAACTTGGGGATAATAAAGAAATTGCAGAAACCTAAGACCCAACCCTGAACACGACAGTTTATGCAATTGGGAGGTCCACAATTGGAGAGACATTTACACACTGAAAGTTGAGTCAACCAGCCCAAGTTTTGGGTATACTTATACTGATACTTACTACACCCAGTTTACACATTGCACAAATGCTGGTGGTTTGGATGTTTGGAACATGACTTCTATTTTCCATTTCATATATGGGATGTCATCCTTCCCATTGACGAACTCACCAGGCTCGCCGGGGTTGTTCCACCAGGCCCGCGGACATCGAAGTGGGCGCCAAGGGCCGTGTCTGCCGCATCGTGGAGCACATGGAGTCCAGTCCTTCAGTGCCGTGGATGGATGGGGATGGGGTGGGTTTAACGCCTCTGGTAAACGGTTACACTTTGCGATGGAAAATCATGGAAAATCACCATCTTAAAATAGGTATATAAAGCATAAAACATCTATAAATGGTGCATTTTCCATGGCTATGGAACAAATTACCAGAGGGTAGGTGTTTGTTGATTGATGTTTTATGTATCAAATGATTGATATGGTTGATACGTTTATTATTCAAGCATGTGTAATTGCCAAAACTTTTGGTGCTTAAGATCTATTTGAATACGTGTAAGTTGATGCAACTTGATGGGAGATGACAATGGATGGAGGGCTTCAAAGATGGGTACGAATTTCCTGTAATCATATGTGGGGAAGAAACTAACTTAAGTTTTGGCGCCATGATGTCTCTTGCTCATAGGTATAACTGGGATTCTCATGGTAGTTCTAAATGGGATTGATATTTGGTGTTGCTCTCAATTTGATAATTACGCATCATACTCATGACAGACGACTTAACCATACTTAACCAGCAACCCTGAGATATAAAGGAGCACAATTATTGAACATCTACGGTTTTGTGAGGATATAATCCCCATCATCTCCTAGCCACAGCCTCTAAATTCCATAAAGACATGGGTACTCGGTCTATTGGTTCACCCCATGAGAACCCTCAGGGCGTAAATCAGCTTGGTGTTTGAAGAGCCGAAGAGCCGTGCGAAGGTGAAAAACAATGCATGTTTTAGGGCCTTACAGTTATAGCATGTTATAGCCCTTAAGAGTTCCACCAACTGGCTGAAAGATACCTCATTTATGTGATATTAATGTCAGCTCAGTTACAGGAGTTGATCCCATTGAGACCTGTTCGTCGGGCCATAAGTGTAGGATATCGCCCGCCCAGGAGCGTCGGGTCACTGTGGCTAACGTTATGCGAGCCAGTGCTGGCTTCACTCGAGGGTTCCACGATGTTCCACGGATGTTGGGTAAACATTGGATAAACATGGGTAAACTAGATCCATCATGATCCATTGATCCATCTAGATCTGAAGATGTTTCAAGATGTTTCGAAGATGTTTCAAGCACTTTAAGGTATATCCGCGCAACAAAACATGTTGCAAGTTCGCCTTCACCATCACAGCCGAGCCAGGTTCTGGTTGAAGCCGGTGCGGCCTGTCGGGTCATTGAGCTCAACTCCAAGATGCAACCGGCCAGAGCCTCAGGAATCACTATCCTGGTACAGTATCCATTGGATGTAGCATCGATCATTGATCTGTCAAACTGGGTGTCCCATGGTTAGCTAAGTCTGGTTTATAACATTTTAATACAATTTATAACTCCAATTGCCAAGGTTAATGATGTTAATGGTGGTTCTAAACTCACCGACATCACTGGGGAAAACCGGAAAGTACCACCTGTATCAAGGAAGAATACTGGGAAATACGACATGATTTAACTAGTACAAGCAACTGAAGAATCAGAGGTATATAAGCGTCCATCAGGCGCCTTTCATGTCTTGGCCTTCATGGCACCTTTAAATACCAGAGGATTCCGTATTCTGGACCTCCAGGAATCCAACCTAAAACAATCCCCCATCGATGAGAAAACATTCGATCATTTCCATGTCTTACCACACTCTATCCACCGTAAAAAAAAAAACACTGCATCATGGTGCCACCAATTCTGCTATCTCCAGGCTGAAGAAGCGATGATCGACACTGCTCAGAAGTTCGTCATTGGAAAGTTGGAGGAATTGGATGAAGAAGAGCTTCCGGTGCGCCTGTTTTCAGCTGGCCTTTCCCTACGAAAAGGTACATTTATACCATGTTATACCATCATTTGGTATACTTTCATCTTTTTGAATGGATCAACTGAGAGTCATGGAAGATTCAAATGCATACTCAGGGTCGGGTGTAGGACCCACTTAGGAAGTGGTTTACGACCCGTAAATATCCATGGGATGATGAAGCTCCTGAAGCTGGGTAACTCTCCATTTTTGTCACAAGAGGAAAGTGTTTCGTAGATCGAGACATTATCAGGTTATGGGTCAGTTTACCCTGGTACCCGTTTATCTCTTTCATAGCTGGTAAATGGATTTTCGAAAACCAGAAACATGGTATTTCAATGTATTTCATAGGTTTTTCATAGGTTTTTCATGGTTTTTCCCCATTCCCAAAAGGTAAAATCGCTGTCACAGCTACCTCGGACAGGCTCGGGTGAACGATTTGGGACCACTGGCAGCGGCGGCCGCAGCTTTGGCCGCAGGAAATGTCTGGGTGATTGGTAAAGCATGGAGATACTCGACCAATAATTGCTATGGCAGCTATGGACATCAATGGACATCCATGGACCTTTTGTATGATCCCATAGAATTTGATTGGTCCATTTTGTTTTATAAACTATAGAACACATGGAGATACTCTATTCATAGAACTGGATGATGGGAAAATTTACAGAAAAGCCCTATATTTGATGGTAAAAACCATGGTTTCCTGTAGATTTTCCCTTAAACCAATCCATTGATCTATAGGGGGTTTCCGAAGACCTTTTTGAGGGATATCGGAGATCCCATCTGCCATGGCGACATCTCAGATTCAGTCTGCAGCGTGATGATATCAGAGGTCATGTGCAGCTCAGCGGACCAAAAACACCAGGCTTTTGATACAGAGTTTACCTTGTGGTAAACTAACATAGCTATGGAAAATCATCATCTTTAATAGGTAAATCAACTATTTCTATGGGCCATTTTCATCCATTTTCAATAGTTATGTGAAATTACCAGAGTTTAACAATGATTTTCTTGTTCTTTTGCTCTGCTATAAATGTTCCTGCTCCAGTGCTTAACAACCTGAGGATATCAAAATCCAGTGGCTGCAAGGACCGGTCACCGGTCACCTCTCCACAGTGCTTTGGCTCTGAGGACATCGTTCACATCCTCGGAGTGCTGGGGCGCAATCTTCAGGTGCGATTTGTTGTATGCCGGCCTAAGATTAAGATGTTGAGTGCTTTTCACCGCATGTTGGTCAAACTTCCGGTGACTAACAACGTGTGTTGGCAAAGCGAGGTGAAATTTTGGTGCCATTTTGGGGACGTTTTTGTTGGCCATGCATCACATCTCCAGATTTGGAAACGGCCAATTTTGGTTTCCAGGCGGTTCGGCAGAGGTGGATGATGACCGCCTTGGTTTCTCTGCTGGATGAGGACAAGACGCTACATGATGTGAATGAACATTATCAACATCAACTGTTCGATCATGAGAATATCATGAAGGTGAGTTCTTACCTCTTACCATGTGGACGAATCGTTTGTAGATGTGGAGAGTCTCGATTGCGCAATAAAAGCTGAATTGAAACATGATGGTATTATATATATATACATATTGTATATCAGTATATACATGATCATCATGAAATCACTTGCATGAATCATTCATGACAAGTCCATGATTTCTGTGAGTCATGAAACATAATTTATTCCAGATGCCCCTAGCTCTATAAATAATTTGAGGATAAACACGTCTAAAAACCATGGTTTCCTGTGCATTTCCCCTAAAACCCAACCATTGAAACATCAGTATGCTTAGTTTCCCCATTGTATCCCCATTATATTCCCGTCATATGTCCACAATATCCCCATGATAGTCCAATTATCATTATATCAGATTATATTCCCGATTATATTCCCATCATATGTGCATTATATTTCCATGATACGGTGGATGGTTGCAAAATCCTGCACCACCAAAAGGATGGTTGAAACCCTATAAATAATGGGAGTTTGACCACCTATCAACTGGTGATTCGGATTTCGCAACCATCCATAGTATGTCCATTATATTCCTGTACATCTCTCAAACATGGAGGTTCCCACAGTACATCCACAGGAAGCGAGGCCCCCACCAGCCGCGGCTGCGCAACCAGGACACGAGGGCCTTGGAGAATCCACAGCCTGAGGACCGTCAGGGGTTGCCGGTCTCAGGTCTCAAACGTCTCGAGCGGAGTGGAGGATTTCGCCAGCAAAGTTAAAGCTCAGATTTCAAACCAACATCAGGATTCTATCAGAATTGTTATTTAATTTGAGGCATATAGATACTAGCAAGAAAATGGGATTAGCGAAACAGACATTGTGACATGGCATGTGTTTTGTCGTGTTTTCGATTTTGGGAGGAGTCATTTTTTTAGTGATTTGCATTGCCAAGTCAAAATCAGGTTTTTTTCGACTTCAGCATCCAAAAAATATGGGCCTGTTGGGTGATGTTGGTGATCCAGACATTCAGGTGTAGAGAACCAATCGAGTTTAACTTGGAGCCAGGGATTGAACCAATCGAAACCGTCCCTGGCGCCATGACTGGTATAGCTGTCCACACATTCCAATGATCCCACATGTGCCATGACCCAACTCTGGTACTTCTTGATGTGTGTTTATTAGATCATATTATATAAATCCAAGTTTTTCTTGACTGAACATGAATTGTTGTTTGATTAAACCATTTTATGCCGGTTGGTGGTTTGGAACATGACTTCTATTTTCCATTTCATATATGGGATGTCATCCGAAACCCATTGACTTTCACTCCATCATTTTTCAGAGGGGTTAGCAGCAACCACCAACCAGTGTTTGAGTAAACCATTTTTTATGTGTTTGGGTGGTCATCTTAGATCCCCAATGATCCCCATGCCGTTCGGTTAACGCCGAGGCTTGAATCCATGCTGGGTGTGATGATGTCGTATCGGAACAAGCCTCAGGAATTCTTCACTAAATAGAAAGTGATGCCTAAAAAAGGTTGGCTAAGTTGGGTGATAAATAGATCTACTATTATATACAATTATATACATGCTTTTACTTATATGTGAGTTAGCGGGCTTCATGTTGAATATCAGTAGTATTAAGATGAGTTCTTCAACGAACTGCGGGTTGTAGCTATATGTAGCTATTGATGCTAGACATTTGAGGTTTTATTCTGAGTATATAACAAATCATGTGATTTTGGGTCTCATCAATTTGGAGCCATACCTAAAAGAAGTGATTTATTGTGTGTGTTTTGGAGATTGACAGATACTGTAGTCATCCACAATGGTTCTTGGTGGATAAAAAATAAGTTGATTCTATACAAAATAAACAAACAAGACCATGTGGACCTATTGCATTCTGGTGAACCCAATAAGAACCCTGATTTTCTAAAGTTCAGTTCCTTCGCACCTCGTCCAGGTAGTTCATTCGTAGATCACCTTCTGATGAAGATGCAGACACCCCAAAGAGTAAACCCTTCACCCTATAGATGGGTAATGATGGGTAATCAGCCACGTGTTTGTTGGTGGTCAACAAGCCCTTTTCAGAAACCCTGCATCTGTAGGATACTGTAGCCCCGGTGGGTCACCCGGTAGTAGACCTGGGGCTATTTTATCGCCAGCAACCCAAAGCAGCTGGTCGTTTTCACCCACCACCTACAACCACCGACATTTGCGAACCAATTGGCTTGCACAGAGGAATTCAGTAAATGCCCAATTGGATTCGTCCAAAAATGGGTGACATCCAGTCATGTTTTTGGATACTTCACTGCCAATTTTTGTCCACTATCATAAATTACCCGTTACATTACATATTGTTTTTGTTTCATCACACATCAAACAGAATGCAATTTCCATGTTGACTATCCATTTGACATCATTGCAATGAACCTACCCATGAAATACCTCATGAAATGTTGTTGAAACTATCCATGTTGATGGAACTTTATAGATCCGTGCTTCAAGAAGATACTCCAATAGTGCCAATAGTATCCAATAGCTATTTCAAGCACTAAAAATATCGCTGGAGCTTTCGCCATGGGGGTAGGCCTCATCCCATCCAGCTGAGTAGCCCCATCCAGCTGGAGGCAAATCATCCACCAGATGGATGCTCTTCTCTCTCAGGCTACCGCCACGGTTTCTTGGCCACGCGGACCACCAAAACGGGGTACCAAAATGCTTGGTTTGCAATGGAAAATCTGATCGAAATGGAGGTCCTTTGGAGGTCCTAAAAAAGGACACTTCCATTATGATGGCCCTATAGCCAGATACTGCTAGGATAACTGGATGAACATGAACCTCATTCGAGCGATATAATCTTCACCTTAGCTACAGGAGTTAGTCCATCTAATTTCAATAACTGTTAGTTTTTTGGCCTCACCAAAATGGTGATATGTCGTATATGTCGTGGGGATATTCAAGGGATATTCACACGCTTTTCGGTGGAAAATCTGTGGCAATGGAAATCCCTGAGCGAGGATTTCTGGGAAGATCGAACTACAGCAGGGTTTCCAGCCATGGAGCTGATGACACCGGAGGGTAAGAAACACTGATAGAAACAGGCCGGATTTTCTACAATGTGTAACGTGTGAAGCAGAAATATATGTAACATGGGGACTGAAATGTATAATACAAGATCCCCATATCGTTGTATATCTACTGTATACTTATGCTTATAGAGTTAAAGTCATAGTTATATATATATATATAGTATACATATTACCAAATATGGAGATTGAAGTGGGAAACATTGGGCATTCAAGTAAGAAACATGGGAAATTTGTTTGCACGCATTAAATTCACTGGTGTTTGTTTCAGGCAAAAGATACGCAGTCAAATTGTTTTGGTATCCCTCCCCCCTTTGCTAATGTACGGTAGGGGGGGGCCTAGCTAATGTACGATACTTTTTCGTACATTTCTCAAAGGCTTACCATATGATTCCGTACATTTTTTTGGGGGGGGGCGCAAACTCACCAGAACCAATTTCTATACATCTAGTCTTTATTCCCTTTCCAATTTCCACTTGATAAGGCCAACTTGAGTAAACAATCACTATCTTTATATCGTTGGTGTGCCAGCATTGTTGGCTACCAATTGTTGGACTATAGCAAACAATCAATATTTTGATGCGTTCAGCTTTACCTAGTGGAGTGATTGCATAGAACCGCAGCAGCGTTTGGCTGCCAATTTTTTTGGGGTGGCAAAATGTCATGGGTGGCACCTTAGCTAACAAATATATACAGATACCCCCGTCAGTTCCAGGATTAATTTCATTGGATTAATTTAGTTGGATGAATTTTTGGTGACCGGTTCAGAAATCTAACTCAAGGGATATTTGGATTAAATTGCAGCGCCTCCGTTAGAGCAATGGCTCTGGAGAAACCACGGCAGCAACCAGCGCATTGCTTGTTCCCAACATGCAGCTGTGCACTGGAAAGACATGGAAAGAATTAGATCTCAATTGTCATTCACCCTTTTTCATTCTTTTGTTGGAGGATTTTGACGCTTTACACCTGCAGATTTGACATGATGCGGGATGATGCGAAAAGATGTTGTTTGTTGAGCTTGCTGATTCTTAGTGCTAGTTTGTTGGTGTTTCTGCTTTGTGTTAGAGGTTGCCAGGTGCATGGGGCTCCTCAAGCGGACCCAGTTGAGTGTTTTTATTTTTGTGGCCGAGGTATCGGCAAAATGCGGCCCGCGGTCTGGAACGAGAAATACTCTATCTATGTGTGCCACTGCGAATCTTGGCATACGTGTTGGGCACAGTACCATTGGAGCGCGGGTTGAGCAGGTGAAAGGTTTTCTGCGCAAAGACCTAGAGACTTGGGATATCTTGGGATGATTTGGCCCTTCTGGCATGACTCAGGGAGGCTTGGTGTCTGCCGTGTTTTTCAAATCAGTTGGCTGGCAACGACTCTGCAGGACAGTTCTTCGGTGACTTTGCAGGGGCATCGGCGTCCATCCGCTCATTGCGCTGTGTGGCACAGAGGACAATGGATCAAGTCCCATACTCTGTCGAGAACTATGAAGGACCTACAGTCAGAATCTAGTTCAAAGTGATCACATTTATCTGGCTGGCCGTTAAGGTTTCCACCTTTGTCCCTTTTTAGTTTGCATTGGATGTTTCCATTATTTTTTTCTCGTTCTGGTTTTTCTTAAAACCATTGCAGCAAAGATCGCGTCACACCCAGGGAAGGAAGGGTTTTGACAACCCAGGCTCGCCGCTGCCAGGTCAGAGTAGCCCATCCAACCACAAGTGAACTGATGGATGCCAAAAAAAAACAAGTTCAGAAATCAATGATCCAGGATGTTTGTCTCATTTGGTTTTCCCAGACCTCACGCTAGCCAACTTAAGATTGCCATGACCTGACACGGACTCGAACATCAAGCATTTTCATGATTTATGGAGTCATGACTAATTGGCAAGCAGCGGCAGCAAAAAATGTGGTCTGGCACGTCGCGCTTGACTTATGAGCTTACCTTTCCCAACCGTTCGCAGGGCCAACGTTGCAAGGATCTCCTTTGATGTCATCGCTTTTGATCATCACTGCCATTTAGAATTCGTTACTGCCATGCTGACAGAATCCTATACAGGAAAGATTGAAGGCACTTAATTGCGGGCTTGGAGATGCGGGAAGATGCGGTCAGGAATGAGCGGTCAGGAACGGGCGTTGTTATCCTTGTAGCTCCATGTCCTGAACACTATGCGCATCACAGTCACAATTTTGGTTTGGCCGCTTAGCGCTTGAAGATGGGCTTTATCAGTCCTTGATTTGGACCAAGTGCAAAGCAATATTGCCAGCCGCCCAAGTCAAGTCTTTGGTGGAGCGGTCAAAAAAAGCAAGTATATAGCATTATAAAACCAAGTAAGCTCTGTCATGCGTTTCTGGATAGCCTGATCCCGCAGATCAAGCAATCCCTGTCCTGCTTCACCGCGTCAAGTAAGGGGATCCATTTTTGGAGCGCTGGGGACGGCATGTTGTGAGCCAAACACACAAGTTTCAAAGAGCCCAAGCAAAGTTTTGGAATCACTACCGCCATATTACATCTCAGGTGCGCGGATAGATTTGGAGCTCAAAGCGCGCACACCAGCGCTTTCTTCCATTTTCAGCGGCTCCGGTCTGATGTTCGAATTGTGTCAAAACGGGCGAAAGCCCGGAACTTCCAAAAGCAGCGAGCCAACATGAGTGAACCGACTACACAGGCTCCAAAACAGTTGACATCAAAACGGGCGAAACTTTTTTGAGTAGGGACAATTCCAATGCAAAACGGAAAGGAGGATCACTGAGAGGTCAAAAGATGGAAATCTAAATTTGGGGAAATTGTGGAACTTACCTTACTGGTAAAATTCAGGGTTCTAGTTATCAACATCCTGTTTGAAAGTGGTTTTGGCTTGTCATGCAGTTTCACCCGGCAAAAAAGTTCAAAGTATTTTTTTACTGGAATTCGCGCCAAAGAAATGAGTATATACATATACACAAATCTAAAAGTATATTTCCCACATAAAGTTAAGATACGTTAAAATTTACGGAGCCAATGTTGAATCATCCAAATGTCGTCAGTCTTTGATCAGAGACATTCCAATAAAGGATGCTTGCTGAAACGAAACAGACTTGAACTATATAATATGCGCAGAAAAGGTTGGAAACCAATCTATCTTTCCTCGCAACTTGATTAAGCAAAAAACTGTCATTTTTTCAAAATAAAGTAACGCAATTTGATGAAACATGAACTATAGAAAGTTTGAAAACATGAGGCTGTGCCAAATTCATTACACCAAACATGAATGTCTTTTAGTCAAACCTCTGCATGAAAATACCAAAGCTAAAAACAATCATGAAATTAAGACACGTCAGAAAATTCAAAAAAAGAAGTTGCATTTTGTCTCGTTGTTAGACGAAACAATAAGACCGAAAAACACAACAAACATTAAAACAACATAAGCGGATTGAAATTTGAAATGCAAAGGTCTTTTTTGGAGTGATATAGAAAACAGCACTCGACAAATCAAAAATGCATATATATGTAAAATTGAACATGTTCGTTTAAAAATTAAATGTCCGAAATTCCCGATCTGTCAGACATGTCAAAATTATAGGCTGAATAATTTAAGTCTTTACAAAACCCGCAACATCAAAGAATGCAAATCCAAAAACCAAAAAAACAAGGAACCAAGAAAAATAATAAAATTAGCAAAGCATAGAACTTCAGAAGATCCAGAAATTCAGAATTTCTAGAAAACCTGGAAAATTCAGAAATCATAACAAAAATGCAGCTTAGAACTAATTCGAAACAATTCAGAAAACATGAAATTCAGAAAACCAGACAGATACACAACATCTTAAAAACTAGAGTTCGGAAAGTTTTGGAAATTCAGCAAAACCAGAAAAGTCAACACATCAAACAAAATACAACATTCACAAAGCAAGGCAATCTGGAAAATCTTGAAAATTCGGAAAGCCAGGCACCTCAAAAAAAAAAGCATAATTTACGCGAAAATTGTCAGAAGCTTCAGGCAAGCTCGGTAATCCAGAAAAACTATTCTAGTTCTATTTGACTGGAAGAATGATGCATTGAAAAACCAGGAATTTTAGCAAATTCAATGAGCCCAGAAAATTTAGGAACGGTGGAAAAGTTCACCGCAAAATATTTTTGCCTTATTTGAAAAACACTGTGCAAACTTCAAAAAAGTCTGACAATTCATCAAAACCGTGTTTTTCAACAATAGATCGTTTCAGAAAATAATAAGCCAGTAAATTTTAGGTTCAAATTCAAGTTTGTAGCTAAAACAATTTCAACACAGTAAATGTATCAACATGTCAATGTTTACAAACACACTCAACAAGCAACTTTTTACGAAATGAAAACTATAAACACACACACACACACGCATATGTTTGTATTGCCGAACTATGTACTTACAATAAAACATTCATAAACGTACCCAAAATCCAGACAAAATTCCAACATGGGTTACAAACATATTGCAAATTTTCCGCTAAGGACGGGACGTGATAAGAAAAGAAACACGCATCAAGCTATTTAATTCCATTTTGTGAGATCCAACCCCCAGCAACGGCTGAAAGCCATATTGACCGTTTTTTCCGTTAAATTACACACATTAAAGCAAGTTCAAA